TCCTAACTTTGCTCTTTCACCTGGGCAGCTCCAAACCTTTCCAAACTCTTCCCACAAACTATTCCTAACGGTTTTGAACCACATAATCAGGTATAGTCTTAGCAACAACCCCACTCCTGGTACCAAATTCTGTGTTGGTTACTTTTCTCTCATTGCTGTGACAAAATACCCAACACCCAAAGTTAAAGTGAGAAAGGTTTATTTAGTTCACAATTTGTGGAGGTTTCAGTTCATAATTAGTTGGTTTCAAAGCAGGATGGCAATACTTCAAGGTGGCAGAAGACAGCAAAAGCAACAAGAGCAAAAGAGGGATCAGGGAAAACCTCTTTTCCTCTCAAATTTTATGTAAGCTACTCCCCCAGGGTGGATGTAGCCCTCACATCATTTTCTTGCCCTCCTCTTGCACAGGATGAGAAAGTTTACAAAGTGAGGACACTGACCCTGCTGAGTTTCTTAGTTTAACTTGTAAACTTCTTAAGTTGATACAGTGCATCAAGCATTACAAAGAGTTGCTTATTTTACATATTTTTGACTCTTCTGCCTGGTTGCTTCCTTGTGCTGATTCACTGGCTTGCTCTCTGTAGTACTAAGGATTAAAGCCAGGGTCTTTGCACTAAGCTATGTCCCTAGACCCTTTTTATTTTTATTTTAAGAGAGGATTTCAATAAATTGTCCATCCTGAAATTATATAGATGTCCACTGTTCTGTATTATGCTACAAAGTGGTTAATAGAAAATTATCTTAGTTCTGTTTTATTAGGTAGAACCATATTATCTGGCCAGTATTTGACCATATAGACTTATAAGGAGAACAGTTTTGCATTCTTAAAATATAACATGAGGCATTTGCTAAGCTATAGAGAAATACCTGTGACTGTGTTCAGTAAGTGGAGAAGGATGTGAATGTCCCTAATAGTTGCTATAGTGCTGCCAGCTTAGCCTGGTATAGAAAAGCACCTGGGTCAGGATGACCCTTTCTCCTTGTTTCTGCTTCTGTAAATCTGTAGATGGCCCTGTAAGAGATCCTAGAAGGAAAGCAGGAGGGTGGCTGGCTCCAGGAGGGTGAGCACCTTCAGCCCCCCCCCCTTTTTTTTTACCCTCAGAAGCAGTGCTGGGAGCTGGGTCATCCCAGCACCAACTTCCCAGAGAAACCCAGGAGGCTCCAGAGAAAGAACAATGAATAATTCATTTGTTTGACCACTTATTTTTTAAAACTAAGTACTGAAGTACTTTTCGTCAGAATACGTTAAGTAACATTGGTTGACCCCATTAAATATGAGACTCCTGAAATTCTTATTGTGTTTGGCAAATGTAAGTTACTTACAAAATTATAAATAACCAACTTAGAAAAATTTCTTTTTCTTTTTGTGGTGCTGAGAGAAATTTCTTTTAAATAAGAGGAAATAGCCTGGGGAATTGAAATCTAAAAGGAATTGTAGCTCGTAATTTGTTCATCATGTTTCATGCAATTGTTAAAGTTTGGACATGTATGTATCTTATTTTTTATTTTCATTTAACACAAAGGATATAGACCCACAGCCTTTCAAAAACAAAGCAGGGTGTGCAATAATGTAGTGGCAGAAAATAAAAACAAACAAAAACACTTTTGTAATTTTTATGTGTACAAATTTGTCTGTACATGAAGACAATAGGATGTTTTCAAATTTTAATTTATGAGTTGTTGGAAACATGATTTGCCAACAGAAATAATACAGACTGGTAATACTTTAAAAAAATTTTTTTAAACAATTCTCATTGTATTGTAGGACCTCAGAATTTCCATCAGGAGTTTCTTGCAGCAGCTGTGTAGGTGTCCTGGCCCCCGGATAAGTCTGTGGGTCATTTTTGGGTGTGGCAAATCCTGTCGGGATCCCTGTCTAATGTGTTAGTATTAGATTTTGCTGATCATATACTACACAACCTGGACCCAGCAACTTGGTGGGCCCAGCAGCTGTTTGGCTTCTAGTTTATCCTGAGGCGAAGGCAGTCTCCCAGAGTGCAGGGAAGCATGCAACTGTAGGAGACACAGACACTAAATCACAGTTTCTTGTCTGCGTTTCCATTTCAATCCTGTATTAGCAGAGAGACGGCCTTGCTTCAGAATGGATCCTTTTGCACTTACAAGCTCATACTTTAATCACATCTGTATGAGTCTCTCAGTGTGACTTTATTGATGTATTGGACTGAACAGAACTTTGTCAAGGACTCCCACACTGTCAGAATGTTTAGCACTCCTGGTGTCCTTCTGCCGTGTGTATCCCAGTCCTGTGACAACCCCAAAATCCCCCTAGACAAGAATACCCCACTGTCTTTGTCAGAGTCATAGACTGATCTTTGGTAAATGCTTAATTCTTGTTTAATGATCCTGTGGCACCATGGTCAAAACTTTGAGCAGTATTGAGGGATGGCAAAGCAGAAGCCTTGCAGGAGGGCACAATGCAGTGGTTCTGTGTAAATCACTTATGAACTAGAGGCAAATCCTCCATGTTTAGCTGGTTCCAGCTTCAAGGCTGGATTGGTACTGTCATAGAAACCCGTTAACAAGGGGAAACTCTGGGTCCCGACAAGTAATCATGGAATGTGTGATGGCATAACCAGTGGACATGGAACAGTCCATTCAGGAGAAGAAGGAGCCTAATAATCATACCCTTGTGGGATGGCGGGGAAGTAGAAGAATAGAGATTTTGTCCAGTCTTTTGACCACAGCTGGCTGGTTACCCAGACTTGAGGTTTTGCTTGGGATATGTGATAGGGGGCTTCGCTGATACTATGTGAACTCCATCTGGACCTGGCACTTTTCCTTCTTGGTGATTTCTTAGAAGCATGAGTTATGGAGTAATATTTTCAGTTACATGCTGTGCATAAATGTGCATTACAGCATAACACACAGTCTGATAAAGAGTGAGATGATCAGGTGCTAGACCAGGTGGCTGTACCAGGTATAATCTAGCTATCTCAGTTTCTAGCTGCATCCAAGTTGGAGCAGCATAAAATGTGTGCAACAAATATGTATTAACTTACCATTCAGATGTCATAGAAGATGTATTTTATCACTAAGCCTAAAAACTGCATGGTTTGGATAAAACATACATACAAATAGCTATGACTTCTTAGAACCTAAATCATGTTTAATTAATGCTAATGTTTACTTAAATAATGGTTTATTGCTCTTTATGTGATGATTCTGCCAACAATATTTTGCAATTATTAGTCCAATTTTAGTTTAGATGTTTCATAAAAGTTTGTAGAAAAATTAATGGTGAAAGGACATATGTATTATTTGAAATAAAAAGTGCTAACAGCCAAAGTCTGTTGAATATTAAGCGTCGAAGGCCATACTGGATAAAACATAAATGGCTACTTATTTTTCCTTTTATCACATTCTTTTTCAATTTTAATTCATTACCTTTACAAGTGACTGGGTAAACTTTCTTTTAAAAATTATTATACTTTACTTTTCTTTCCTGTCTCAAATTATTTTAATTTTCCCTGGGTCTCATGTGCAGAGGATTTTAAGTCTATTTCCAGTTACGATTTCCCATTTCGCTTTATTCTGTTGCTGTCGCTGGATGTTTCTGCTTGGATATCCCAGCGTGGCCTTGAACTATAAATCTGAACTCTTCATCTTCCGCCATTCTTTCCTTCCACAAAACCAGCAGTGTGTTTTCCCTCTGCAGATTAGAAGCCTCCCAGGCATCTCCGACTCCTTTTCTTTACTTATGAGTGTTGGGTTGAAAGTAGAGCATGGTGCATTGTCCATCGTTCTTTGGGGAAAAATTAAAAACAAAGGAGAAGAAACATGGTTTGCCAACAGAAATAATACAGACTGGTAATATTTAAAAAAATTTTTTTTTAACAATTCCCATCGTATTGTAGGACCTCAGAATTTCCATCAGGACTTTCTTGCAGCAGCTGTTTAGGTGTCCTGGCCCCCGGACAGGTCTGTGGGTCATTCACTCCTTATCTTCCTGGTTGTTGTCATTGTTACCAACCTGCTTCGTCACTAGCTTCCTTCTTGCACTACTTCTTCAGTGATGAAATTTGAAATCTCTTCTCACCAAGCCCTGTGCTACCCCGGTGAATTTTCCTAGAGTCTGTTTTTTGTTTGCATCTTTCTCATGCTTGGAAACCTTTGGTATAGTTGCCTGTTGTTTATAAAATTGAATCCAGCCTCGCCTGGCATTTATTAGCTCTGTTTCCAACTATTTACCTCCTTGAAATTTTTTTTCCCAAGCCAGTGGTTTGACTCCCCACTTCCTGAGCCCCTTCCTCAGGCTCGTCTCTGTGCTACCTATACAAATATTCTTCCTGTCCCTCACCTACCCGTCCATCCCACCCTCACCATGCACCCCCAGTCTTTAGCACCTGGTGAGTGTCTTTGCTTCCTGAGTGTTGCCTCTGCTTCCTTTAGAGGCCCTTAGCATCCATTAGGCAGCTTCGTAATTGAACATCTTTAAGTTGTGACAGTTCTAATTGTAGTAGCTTGTACTGCTTCTTACTTCTCTAGATTTTCATATATTTGCACACGGCTAAGCTCTCAGTGGCTCCTGCATGAGAACCTTTGCCTTCCCTGTGTGCTCCATAATACCTAACATACATTGAAACTAACATGTAGGTTCTGGGAATGCTGGAAGTGTTTGTCAGTTTTCACTATTAAATCCTTAGTACGTAAAAGAGAATTGGGGATACAGTGGATGCATAGGAAGTATTTGTTGTATAAATAGCAGATGTTCTGTAAATATTCATAGATCTGATTCTAGGTAATTTGAGTGTGCTGTACCTCCTCTTGTTTTACTATGAGAGCAACACGTTCTGGGAAGTGTGCAGCCCAGTGATAAGAACAGGTACTTCATGTATGCAGACCCTGTGGTTCAGTCCCTAACACCCTAGCATAATAGTGAACAATTATTATAATGAAAAAGAAAATGACTGCAATTTACAGCCAACATCTGTCCATTAGGACTTGAGTCTTCCTTTCACAAGACTTTTGTTTTCCTGCAGATATTAATGAATGCCAGCTACAAGGTGTATGCCCTAATGGTGAGTGTTTGAATACCATGGGCAGCTATAGATGTACCTGCAAAATAGGATTCGGGCCGGACCCTACCTTTTCAAGTTGTGTTCGTAAGTATGATCACTTTTCGTTTCTATTTTTACATCAGTTGTCTTTGATGTTTACCCAAAAGAAGGGAAATACTCAGTGGGCCAACTGCGTATTATAAATATTCATGAAAACTGCATTAATTAAAATGGTAAGAGGGCAGAAAATCATGCAGTAAAATAAACCTATATTATGGAAACTTTTGCAAAGTGCATTTTAAGAAAAATGTAATAGCCCAACTCAGAATGGTAAATAAACACATTGAGGAAATAGACTTTGGTGAAAAAAAAAGTTAATTGAATGAGCATATCAACCATTTGTGGTACTTGAGAGATACAAATAGATTTTTCCCTCATAAATTGTTAAGTCTTCTTTAGAATGAATTCAACTTTGTATCAGCTCTTGCCTTTATTTCAAATCCTCAATCACTGGAATCTGATTTTATGAGGATTCCCCCTACTTTGTCAGAAAACTATAAAGATAGTTACCAAGGCTGTGAATTTCAGATTTTCATGTTTATTCTGATTTCACATCTTCTCTCCCATTGCCCTCCAAAACCACCCAGATGCCTCCAAAGTTGTATTGTTCTTATTTTACAGCATCTCTGGGATTTTCTTTTTCCCCACAGTAATAGTAAAAATCCCCCTTCCATATATTTTAATACAGTTTCACCAAAGAGGCAAACTAATGGAAAATTAATCCAGTGTAGTCACTTATAGATCATCCATCCAATTAGAGATGAATACATTTTAGTTAAAATGTCCTCCAATGCAGAATTTATAACTATTGATTATTACAAAAGTAGGTAAAAACTGCAGATTTCTAAAAGATACATACTGTTGAGGTTCAGAAACTTTAAGAGCAGGATAGGATTAATTTTAAAAATGATTTATGTTATTTTGATTTTGCTAAGTTATTTTTATTTATTTAATTTGGCTTTGGTTTATGCTTACCGGGATCCTTCTTGTCCCTAGTTTTTAAATTACTGCTTCATATCAGGATACCATTATTCATTTTTAGTTAAGATTATTTGTCTGTATTCTGTCCCCTAAGTTGTGATGTGTAGAGATGAAATAAAGACAAATGTAATAAAATAATAATGGCAATCTCATTTATTGCTTTTTAGATGGGCTTGTTGAGTCTTTTGAAATACGTTTACTAATCACTACTATTTTCCTTTAAAAACTGTCAAATGCAGATTAGGAAATTTTGCACGTAAGTCCTTTTTCCATGTTGTTTTGCAGACATATCTGATCATGAAGCAGGTGGAGACCTAATTATTTGGCTTTTTCAAAGGGGAGGTGGTAAAATTAAACTGTAAAATTGTTTGTAGACAGTATACATTTGAAAAATGATGTTGGAATTTGGAAAATCCAGGCCAAAAATCACATTGTTGATAATATCCAGATAATGTAGGGATAATTTCTGGGTGATTTAAGTTATGTAAGTTTTTAAGTAGTTTTCTCATTTAAGCATAAAAAGATTGTGAAGAATTTGGATATAAATTTATTAGTGTTTTGTTTTCCTCTTAAGTAATTTATCTTATAGTCTGGTTATAATTCTTATATTGAATGTTGCAGATTAGGTAAACTTGGAGAACTTTTATGAAACTTTCACTAGATTTCATGTCTAGAGTTAAGGGCAGACATCCAGGTTTTAACGAGATTACAGAAACCTGCCAGTGAGAATTTTGAAACACTTGCACATTTCCTTAGCATTTATTTTTCCCTGTCATTGCCCAAATAATCCAGAACTTATTAAACAATCATCCTTTCTTATTTGAAAAATAAATAATTCAATTTTATGGTTCAGCTACAACAGTTGAAATGATAAGTATTAAGAGACATTTGTTGTTAGTTAAATGTTCCAGTGCAGAGTTAGGAGTTACAACCTGGATCCTTGAGCTGTATTGAGCCAATAGCTACATTTCTCTCTCTTCTGAATTTACTACATATAATATCACAGCGATATGTAGGGCTCCATTAGGATTTGTGATTTGGATCAATCCAAGCTTTTTTCTTGGTGGACTTTATGAAGAAATTGATAGGGAACTCTGAAGACAGTTGGGAAGAATTTGGGAATAAGGTTATGTTTACAGAGTAAGGGAAGAAACATTGGAAAGATGGTGGAGTGTTTCACAGTCGTGGAGAAGTAGCAGATTGGGCACACACACACACACATACACATACACACACACACACACACACACACACACACCCAGAACAGAACTGTTGCTTGTGGTTTGTACTGCTTGTTCTTGAGAGGTATAAAACTAGTCAGACGCAGAACCTGCAAACAGACTGTGGAGACAGACAGCAGTTGCTCAGGCAGTGTGAAATTAGGGCAGATCCAGGTCATGAAGGTGTGGCTGCCTCCGTGACCTCCCAGAGACGCACTTGACAGCTGTTGAGGAGCCACAGGAAACTCTGCAAGTTCTTGAATGCACTGAGCTGAACAACCTCAAAAATCCCTGGCTGCAGCCAAACGCCACCACTGTCTCTGTCGCTATCTTTCCTTGTCCTCTCTGCCCTTGACTTCATCAAGCTTAAAAGAGGAAAGAAGAAGGATGCTGACCTCTGCTGCCTGTGCTGTGTGTTCTGTGGTTTAGGATGCTGAAGTAGCCCTCACCAAACCAGCCTCTGCCTGTCTCATGGGGAAAGATGAAAATTTTAGGCCTTATCAGAGCAATCCAAGAAAAATAGAGTAACCTCAAACTCATCAGAAAAGCATCACATGCTCCCCATACCTGCGTCCTAACACTCATTCCTATAGAAATGTTAAGCTCGAAAGGGATGAAATTGATACAGAATGTGGAATTTCATTTAAGAAATGAATGAAGATATTAGAGGGCTGAGTGGGAGTATTGAAAACCTAGGAGGCATAGCTGGGCCCTTGCTGGTTTTTGAAGTCTTCTCTAGTTTTCAGATTCTTAAAGTACCAGATTTATATCTTCTTAGTGATATTTATCGTTCACATTTTAGTTCTTCAGAGTAGCAAGGCTTTGAAAGTAAAATGGAAATTTATTGAACAGCCCTCTAATTAGGGCTATCATTAAGTACAAGTTTCTTCCCATTTTGGGGGGTGATGGGGCTGGGATTAAAGTTCTAGTCTCATGCATGTTAGGCATGTTCTTTGCTACTGAACTACAACCTCAGGTATAAGTACAGCTTTCTTAATACACCACTAAAGAACCCAAATAAAGAGCTACATAGCATTTTACCTTTTTGCTTTGTTTTGTAATTGAGTTGTGGCTGACAGTAGAGATATGGTTAGAGTCAGTAGTTTGCTTGGGTATGGAGATATGTGTTCCATATGTATTTACTACCCTTTTGAAGATTTATCTCTAGCAGAGAGCAAAATATTATTTTCCTGACAGGTGTGGCAATTCCAGTAGGTTTTGTGCATTCAAATGCTTTCCCCTTGAGATAGAACATGAACTTTTTACCCTAATTTTAGAAACATATCCTGCAAAAATATAGCCTTGCAAAACCCTGTTTTAGTGCACACATCATGAGAATCTACACACACCCCTTTGTTACTGCTCCAGGCCTGTACCACCCAGAACCATTTCCACCTATTCTTCAGAAATCTTTTGGCAATTCTGATTAAAACACACACACACTCTCACACACACACACACACACACACACACACACACACAGTATAAAAGCCACTGACTCAGGGAGATATGTAACTGTGTATACTGTATTTGACATAATATAGTAGACTAATGAATTATCCTTTATAACCAGCTTTTCCAAACTAAAAAGTTAAAAGGTTAAAAACATCCACAGCAAACACCAATTTTGTAGGTTCTGGGTTGCATATTGTCCTTGGGTGTATGTGTCATGTTGTCTAAAATGTGACAATGTTTCACATGTTTTTAAAAAATGGATTGACATTGCAGGTCATTTGAAACAAAAGATGATCAAAACTAATTTAGGTATTACCCTGTTAAAGCCTAAGCACCATAGAAAGCCTTTTCATCTATGTAGTTGTAGATTTAAAAAAAAAATGTGAGTCTTTGGAACCTTAGATATATATGTAAGCCAGACCTTTTTAAGAGTTTCCTTCTTTCCCATATACATATTTGAAGGCATAGTTTTAGTATTAGCTACTTTTTCTTACGTGCATTTGGAGTAGGTCAGAATGTTTAATTAGAACATGAACCAACACTGCCTGACTCATCAACAATTAACTTATTGATGACTCTACAGGCAAGTGACTCTTTTTTTTTCTTTTTCCTTTTTATTTACTCTCGTAAAGAACTGAACTGGAACTGCTCTAAAAACTATCATGGGAAAAAAGTAACACTTTCCTAGAATACTGAGACATTACATAGAATATTTGGTTAGGAAGTAATGGGAAGGGAAAACCCTATAAATCCAATATGTGTTAGGGTAAGATGTTTAGAAAGAATTAGCTCACTTGACCTATACCTTTATACTGAAATTTTACACTTTTCTTTATGCAGTGTTTGAGATTTTGATAACCAGAGATTTGCTTTAATTAATGATGTCTTACAGTTAGCACACATACATAACTGTCAAAGTAGTATAACTCATTTAAATTTTGGGCTTAATTTAGAGCAAACCTGGCATTTCACACCAAAACTGAGTACTTCGGTAGGGGGTTAGGGTAAGTGTAACAGGCTTGGTCCCTAAGACAGTACCAGTACCCTACAAATACAGGCAAGGTTGGTATCAGCAAGTGACTATAGAAAATTAAATGGGAGGAAGTTCATATCTGTTTGTCTCTGGGGGGTATTTGAGAAAACTGCTCTGAAAACTCTTGTCCTTGGAACATACAGCTAACACTAATATGATTAATTTTATAAGGCCCATCATATGTAAATAGGCTCTATGAGATGACCTGACATTGTTTCTATGGATGTAAATATTGTAAGGTCCATACAGTCAAGTTGAGGAAAACTTTGGAATAAAATCTTTTGTGAGCTATCCCATAACTCTGTGTGTGTGTGTGAGTGTGTGTGTGTGTGTGTGAATATATTCATTCTAAAGATTATATAATTTACAGACACATGCAGACACCCACATCCACCCCACACACACTGAATGATGTTCAGTCATTCAGGGATTTACTATCTTTCAGGATAATAACCATGATCTCAAGCCTTCCTTTTTTTGGGAGAGAGGACAGTATCTGTGCCCTTTGCTTTTTCATAGCTTAAAAGTAAAAATAAAGAAGGTAAGCTTCCCTTGGCTGTATTTCTAGCAAGCAGTAGATCTATAATTTGAAGCGAAAATCTTTTGCTTTTTCTTGTGTACTGTAGTACCTTAATTGAACCAGGTTATTTCTTACAACACCTAGCTAAGACCTCAATCCTATTGGAAGAATAAAAATTAGATCTAAGCATGAAGGGATGGAAGATTAGCTGATTGGGGAGCACCAGATTCTAGAGCAGCTGGCTAAGGGAAAGACACATTGGAAAGCCTCATTTGGACTGTGACAGGACAGAGGAAAGCTTCTCGGGGTGGAGAATGGACGGAGGGGACACCACACTTGGTCAGGTTCAGCAGTTTTGAGTTGTCTGTACTGGTCCTCACCTTGTGGAACATACTCCATTCACATGTACCTTAGAATAGAAATAATAGAATAGAAATTTAAGAATAAAGGCACGGTTCTTTCCTTACTTACCCTCGTGTTTGCCCTGGGGGCCTGGTAAACAGTTGGACCATTCAACTGGTGAATTTATATCTACTAAATATAGAGTGGACAATCAGGAGTAGGACATAGGAACTCTGTGACAGCAGCCCAGTGTGCTTTCAGTGTTTCCAAGGAGTTGATCATAGTATTTGCTCCTCCTTTGCTATCTTGTCTGGCTAGACTGGGGCTTTGTGTGGCACTAAAGATCAGAAGCCACTTCCTGCCTCCTGCTCGTGTTCCCTGGCCTAAGGAGAGCCATGACAGGGGCCTGCCAACCCTGTCTTAATGCTTCCGAGTAGGCAGGGAAGCTGTTGATTTGCAGAATGAGCTGTGCTCCTGATTTTCTGGGTGCATGGTCAGTTATCAAGCTCTGTCCTAGAACTGCCTCTCACTCCCTATGGGAATCTCACAGTGGTGATGTTGACTGTAGAAGATTAGATTACTTTGGCCAGGTGGGATTCAGTTGAAATTGTTTATTTTGCTTGTGCATACATTTGTAATTTAATGCTTGCCCAAAAGGGGACACAGGTCCCATAAGGAATGGGGACAGTCACTAATCGTGACACTCACTTAAAACTCACTTGATAAATGGACTCATAATTAAGAAAGGTGATGCCCTAACTTTCGATGGAATTTTTGTGAGTGTGGTTGCTCATATACCTTAAGATTCATTTTACTATGTCTTGAAATGCTGATCTGGTTTTTGTTTCCTGCGTGACGCCAGGCTTTTTCTCTCTGCTGCAGCGGACCCTCCTGTGATTGCAGAAGAGAAAGGGCCCTGTTACCGGCTTGTCAGTTCCAGCAGGCAGTGTCTGCACCCTCTGTCTGTGCACCTCACCAAGCAGCTCTGCTGTTGTAGTGTGGGCAAGGCCTGGGGTCCACACTGTGAGAAATGTCCTCTCCCAGGCACAGGTAAGGCACGCCCAGGTGTGCACCCACGAACATTCCTAGCCGCACAAGTAGGCAGGATGCCTTTGGCAGCTTGGGTCATTTTTGATCCTCAGTTTAGTTTTTAACAGTTCTGTGTTTATATCACTTTTGTAGAAATCATAGACATACAAAGTTAAATCAGTGGAAAAAATTATATGCAAAGAAATTTCTCACTATTTTCTGGGTAATGTTAGACTTCTGTTTGTGTATTAAGAAAAGCCATTATATTTTACTCCCACTTACCAACACTCTTAAATCTAATATTTAAGTATAGAGACCAGAAAGTTTTTTAGGTCTGTGTATTCTCCTGATTTGCCACTCACCATTTCTCATTAACTAGACCCTCCATGGGGTGATTGGCTCACTCAGTGATTGAACATTGAACTTAATTTCTTTAATTGGAAATGGAGAGAATTATATTCATGGTTGAACTGTGCAATGATGCTTAATAACTCCAGAGCAGATCCTGCCAAAACTCCTATGAATTTTCAGGGAGCTAAGTATTAAGAAGTTGATTCTTCTTTATTTTTGAATTTGGTACAGAATTGCTTAATGCCTTGCAAGATTAAATTTATCTTAAGTATCTTACTTCCCACCAAGAAATCACAGACTTCTGAAGCAGGATCCCATAGAGTTAAACAGTAGAAAAGAAAACATAACTTGTAAACACCGGACATACAATCAAGGATGGAGTGGTCTCTATTTCACTGGGTGGGGTTGGTGTAAAGCAGCCTACTAAATTACTTATATGATAAGTTAGTTATGTAAGTTAGCACAGCTACCAGGAGGAAGAGTGCATTAAATCTCTCAGGGCCATGTGTGTCTTTAAGATGAGACTTATATCCCTGACAAGTTTTAGATACATATTTATCACCTTTTTTGGTGGTTAGAATAAGGAATATAAACTAAGGCAAAAAATACTACAAAGGACAGTTAACTGACAGTGTAGACGACACCTTCAACAAGTCTACTGTCTTCCTGTTTTCATTCAACACATGCATTGTTTTAAAATAACACGCAAAAAAGTTTTATAATGTAGCCGGCAGTTTAGGTCAGCAGCATAAGTGCCTGCCTGGCAAACGCAAAGTCGTGAGTTCAAGCCCCAGTACCCCACACAAAAAAAGTTTTATAATGTCTAGACACAATTCTTTCTAAGTTCAGTTTTGATAGCTTTAAATCCTTACATGAAACATAAATAAAGATGGTGAATGCAACTCTGGGAAACCCCTCCATAGTGTAAAAACTAAAGTTGAAAATAACAAAGGTAAATTTTTCCACTTAACTGATTTTTGGACGCGTGGTGGTTTTTAAAAACATATTTAATTCATCAATACTTGAAAATTTGACAGAAAAACATGTTTTCTTCTGAAAACCATTTTCAAGTAAGAATTCTGTTTTCTAGTTAAACATAAGCATGAGGCTCCACCTTTTAGTGTATGATCCTTAGAAAAACTGTATTTTATTGTGCTTTAAAGGCATGTTTTAGTTTCCTTTTATTGAGAACTAATTTTAGGTCCAGACCAGTCGATAGAAGAACTGTTGTTCAGTAGAAGTGAGAAATGACTTATTTTACTTTCAATTTTAGAAGTAGAAATGTAAAAAGTGGCCATAAGCCCCTCAGTGTCTGCATTTGGTAATTTTTCTCCAACACCAACAGCAAAGGGATTAGGTGGATTTTTCCTCCTCAGGCCACACACGGCTGCCAGCCTTGTCTTTCCCCTTTACTTATTCGAGGGGATTATGCAGTGGAGGTTAGCAAATCACACATGCCAAGCTGACTCTTAAAAGCACACAGACACATCGTGGTTCCAGAGCCGCAGACTGCCTCCTAGTTCTCTGTGTAATTAAGTCAGCTGCTCCTGGCTAGGCGTTCACCCAGTCGTAAGGCCTTTGCTTGAAAACAGCAGCCTAGTTTGCATTGTCTTTCTCTCTCGGTTTCTATTTGTCATCTTTACATCTGTAGCATGTGTCACTTCATGGGGTCTCTTCTCACTGTCCTGAGAAGCTGTCTTCTGGGCTGCTCCCCACTTCAGTGGTAACCAGCACCCAGCCAGCAAAGCCACTCCATTCTGGCTGAGCCCTGTGGGTTCCTCGCCAGGGGACCAATCCTGAGCCTTTCACACCTCATTTTCCTGCCTTCTTTTTCTTTGCCTTCTTGTTCATGATCTAACTTAATGAGATGTCACTGAGTTCTTGAATAATAACTAATAAGATTATACCAAAGTGAGAGAAAAGAAAGACTAAAGCTTGCTGATACTACACATATGTATGAGTTATACAGTATATAATGTCTTTTATATGTAAATGTCTCCTAATGTACATATATTTTATATGTGATATCTAATATTACATATATAATGTGATACAAATAGTATCTCCTAATTGGTTGCTGATTATATTTGTATAATACATGCTAAATATGTAAAGTGGTAAATATATAAAAAATATATGTATATATCCTGATTGGATAGTTTAAGGAGCTAACAGGTTGATACATGTTTATTTAAAAAAAAGTGTGAAGTTTTTCTTGTAAATATGCAATTTTGTCAGAAATTTAAGCAATGTGCATACATTTTGCATCTGTTTTTGAAGTTTTTGAATGTACCTGTATTACTGATTTATTAAGAGATATTCATCATGATATTTTCCTCTGTATAAGTTTGCACTGTTAGATTTTTAAAAGGAATATTTTCCCATCCCAAATCTAGCTGCTTTTAAGGAAATCTGTCCTGGTGGAATGGGTTATACGGTTTCTGGCGTTCATAGACGCAGGCCAATCCATCACCATGTAGGTAAAGGACCTGTATTTGTCAAGCCAAAGAACACTCAACCTGTTGCTAAAAGTACTCATCCTCCACCTCTCCCAGCCAAGGAAGAGCCAGTGGAGGCCCTGACCTTCTCCCAGGAACACGGGCCAGGAGCGGCGGAGTCAGAAGGTGAGAGTGGAGGTCAGGTGTGCGCTCTAGCCACGTGTCTGTATATATTACTTGGGTTTCCAGGTTTATACCTGTCTAGAACTAGAATGCTTAGCTTCAGCACTATTGACATTTTAAGATGGACACTTCATCGACAGGTGGCGAGGCCACCTGTATTGTAGGGCTGTTGAGTGGCCTCTGGGGCCTTTGATGTCCAGATGCTAATCCATCCCCTTCCCCCACCCCATGGTGGTTACAACCCAAAAAGGTATCTGATCATTGCACATGTTCACAGTTGAGGGATGCAAATTCATCCCTGATTGAGAATCGCTGCTATTGAATAATATGTACCTAGTAGGGTAATAAATTCTATGGTAATTTGAAAATACTGTCTTGCTTTTGGGAGGCTACTTTTGCTAATGATTATTCATAGAGACTGGGTTAGATTCTTTGTGAGAACAGTGCTACTTCATTTCTGTGTCTAGAGCGCCCTTCGGTAAATATTTATCTTCCAAGTGGAATCCCCAGCTTTAAAAATGTTAAAGCATCTTCTGAGCTTCCATAAAATAATGTAACAGGCAGTCGGAGATAATGGAGGGAGAAATGCAGGAAAGTAAGAGACAGTTGACGTGAAAGGATCTGAAAGACCACCCAGTACAGTTATTTACCTTCTAAGCAACCCGAGACCTCAAGAGGGGGCATGACTTGCCATGTGTCATACACAGACTATTAGCAGGACTTGTGACCAAGGAGAACATTTTCTGGTTAAGACCTTACACTCGAGAGGGAGTTGATTTCCAGTCTCTCTGGTACTCAGGAAAGGGGATTCATTCATGTTCTTTCTCTCTCTCTCTGTCTCTCAGCCAGCATTTGCAGTATTTTGAATGTCTCCATGGCCACACAAATTCTCACTCCATATAGAAAGCGTAGAAATTTAAGGTTTACATGGAGTATTATGTGTTTAGTCTAATCAGGCTGCTCATGGCCTTTCATAGTTGATCAGGATTCAGAGTGCCTGTTCAGGGATCTCATGAGGAAGTACAGGGTGCTCAGGGTGGTGAAGGGTTAGGAACTTGGTGCAAGCTGCTGCTGGGAGGCTGGTGTTTTCCTGAGCTCTGAGCATTTGTGTGTTTGGCCTGTTGTGTTCCCTCTTTCACTCCCCACACTTCTTCCTTGGTGAGGCAGAGCAGGGAGAACCTCCCTTGCAGTTGACTGACTTTACAGTCGTTCTTCCCTTACACAGGCAGAGAGAAATAGGTTCTGGTCCAAATTGTACCTCAAGACTTTCTTGATGATGTATTTGGCAGGACAGGAAGTCCTGTCCGTCCATAAAAATACTGAAGCGATGATTTTAATGTAGCTGGTGCCCTAATTGCTTTTAGAAATAAAGGCCACCTACCTAGTTTATTTCTTAGAGATTATGGAGATACTGATTCTGGAAAAAAAATCCCAGTGAATGTTGACCTGACGCTTGAGAACTGATTCCTGAAAATCAAGTCTTTCAAAATACAAAGGCATTGCTTTTACCAGAATAATGTTAATAATTGTTTAAGATGTGATTTGCTGACTATATGGATGCTAATTTCTTACGGCTCTTACTGGCTTGTGAGGATTTATTGTCACCAGTTAGTTCGCATGTCTTCCTGCAGATGTTTGTAGGACTTCATTAAAGACTGGACTCACTCACGAATACAGCACCTATTCTCATGTCTCTGAAATAAATGGAATTCTTTTTTAACACTGACAACAGAAAACATTTCAAATGTCTCTACTAGGTTAAGTATTTGGCCCATTAATGAAAATGTTTGTTTTCAAGACAGGAAATTCCATAAAATTTGGATTAGGGATAAATTAACCTATCATAAAGTTGATTTATCTAACTTTTTACTTTAATAATCTTAATTTTAAATAAGAGACTTCAAAAGACTTATATTTCAACTCTCTGAGCTCCTATAGTTTAAAAATGAAATAATACAGAAAGTTCTCTCTGTCATGTATAAAATTCTCTAAAATGGAAGATGACCACAGTTCTGCATTTGATTTAGTTTAGTTCTTAATCCTTTTGGAGCAGAATACTAGACTTTTATTGATTTTTAAAAATTGTAATAAATGAGTTGTCTTAAATTATACTAATGCCCTTATTTCTTTTCTGGTTTTAGTCGCAACTGCACCCCCTGAGAAGGTAATGTTTTCATTGTTTACAAGTCTTTTTTTTTGCAACATTCAGATGTTTTTTATAGAAAATGTGGCATTTTACAACTTAAGTGCACTCAGATGTACATTATGCCTTGTTTACGAAAATATAGCATTCAGTCAAATACTTTTTGCAAAATGACTCAGCAGTGTCCTCAGTGCCAGGAAAATAATAGCCATCAAATCAGACAAAACTCCCTTTTCTTAAGGAACATGGCTTCTAGTGAGAAGAGAATGGTGGCAAGTAATGGGAATCAAGGACTTAAACAGAATTTATAGTCAGCTAATTTCTGGGACTACCTATGTGAAGAAAGGTTTTCACATGTCTGTATACTTGTATATAGTTAAGTGCATATAAAGTAACTGAGGTGCTTCTGAATTCAACCAAAATGTAACATGAATATTTGAACTGATTTGGAGTAAAACCAGAACTTACTCTTGAAAGCTTCAATCAAATACTTGAGCATTGTTTCTCAGTTTGTGGATTTTTCTTATTAATCTTTAGTTTGGGGGCATGAAATGAGACTGCGAATTGTGAGACTATTAGTAGGGAATGTAGACATCTGCTAGATTAAATTTAATACTGGATCTTCTCTGGATCTTGCTTGACTGATGATAACATAAAAATAGATAATTATTAAATGTTTATATATTTGTTACTCAGTTGCAAGAGAGCCTTAAGTATTAGAATTTAGATGAGGAGATGCATAAACTATTAGAAATAGTTTTAAAAATTGTTAGCCTATAAATACAAGTTGGTATATGTGAAGACTCAGGTAGCTTGCAAGTGGGCCAGTCAGCTGCCTGACAACCACATCCTAAGTCAGTTTTCTTCTCTGTTTGTGATTGAGTTGATGGTAACTCTCATTAGGAATCTAAAAGAGATCTTGAAATTTTCCTGTGTAATTTTAATTGCATTTTGTTTTCAGAAGGGGAGTAGGAAAATGCGCCTGTAGTCTTTGTGGTCTTGAGACTCTGCAGAGATCTCACCTTATTCATAATGGATGCAGAGAAAGCAGGGTCCAGGGGAAGGAACTGTATGTGTGTGGTAAAAGGACAACAAGGTTTATGAGAGACTTGGTTTGAAAGGAAATTTGGGGCTGCCTTTGCAAAGCTTAGAATACCAAACTGTAGTTGTGATCAGTGAGGCAGTACCCTGTCCCCACCCCCCCCCCGCAGCTGGACCCACCTGCCAAGGGGACAATGGTGTTGACTAGGAGGTTTATTGCATTTTGTGGGTCGGGGAGAGCTTCTCTGTGGACTGCAGGAGTGGGTTAACATGTGCCCATGGCTTGCTCTTCATTGGCATGGGCTGCAGGGAATGGGGTATAGTTCAGACTGACTGAGTTTGTCTCCAGTAGATGATAGGAAGCCAGTCTACATTATTAAGAATAGGCAGGCATGTGGGAAAATATAATAAATTCTAAGTGTTTCTAGAAAACAAATCCTAGCTAACCAAAATAGAGAGCTGGACGTAGCCTGAGAGGCTAATTTGATTATTTCAGTAAACTAAGCATGAGAATCCAACCGCATTGGTGGGACTTGGGGTATGGAAAGGGAAAATAGCTATAATGAATGTGCCAGTGGAGGAGGTTTGCAATGATGAATACAGGAGGACTGGAAAGTACTTTAAATGGAATGGGTTAATGACTATACTGTGGCTGTGGCAGAAATGATCATCTTGGAATGACAGCCTGGTTGGTTTTGTGTGGAGGTGAATTTGAAGAATCTGGAATATCTATAAACAGAGTTTCTCCAAAGCATTTATGCTTACAAAATGGGGTCTTCAATGAAATATTACACAGGCTGTCTATTTTAGAAGCAGAAAGGTGATAATTGAAGCTGGAAAAGAGAATAATAGGCCAACAGAGGCTAGGGAGTTGAGCTTTCTGGAAGATGACAGTGCTTTAAATATCAGGGAATATGCAGGGGAATGGTCAGCAGGTAACTTGATGAATACTTTTAATGAAGTTTTGTTATGAGTTCTCTGGCCCCTTGCTGGTGTGGATGAAGGCGCAGATCCTTCACCGGACAAATTGTTCAGTTGGCACAAGCCCTAAGGAGCTATAACTGGAAATAGAGCTCTGGCGATGGATTGTTTCTTTGCTTAAGGTCCAGGGGACAGCCGTGGGTGACAGAATATGTTAGGAGGCTCTAAGTGTTTCTCCAAGATCACAGTTCTGTTGCTGTGGCACTAATACTGTTGAGAGTTACCAGGTTATTAGATGTGAGGTTAGCGGAAGCCACCATGACTCACTGTTTAAAATACTTTAACTTAGCTTGTGTGGTTTTTTTTTTTTTTTAATGATCCAGATGCTAAACCCATTTAACCTGCAGAGAAAGTGACCAGTCATCTAGTGCAACAGAATCACATGTAAATAAGATGTAGGTTTAGTCCTCATTGTGGTTAGTATTGCCCTGTCGGAGACCAAATGTGGGCTCCTGGGCTGAGATCACTGCTTTAAAGGTCTGACTTTGAGCCCTGTGGAAAGGGTGAGCACGATCTGTGGTTAGCACTGCTGCTAATTAAGAGCTTGCCATGGAAACAGCACAGTAGGTTGGGGTTTTTAGAGGGGTGTCACATAATCATAGCAGTTTATATCTAATTTTCTGTGATTTTTTTTTGCCTTTCCAAGAATATAATTAATTAAATAAAAATAGCGCTATGTCTGTCTCTCTCTGTCTCTGTGTCTGAAATACAACCACCCAGGAAATACCTTCATTGGATCAAGAAAAAATCAAACTCGAGCCTGGCCAACCCCAGCTCTCACCAGGCATTTCAACTTTTAATTTGCACCCCCAGTTTCCAGGTAATCTGTGTTGATTTGTACTCTTTATCTATATAAAAGCATGAGATAGGAAGTTTTGTTTTTAATATTAAAATTGAATTTAAATGTGAAAGTACACACTTAAGTATGATCATATGCTTAGATAATGCTAATACAAGTACTGTACTTCAAGTAGTACAGGGGGAAAGGTAGCTTTTGCCCTGTCTTCTGTGATTGACAGCAGTATACATCATGTGATTATTGAAAGTCATTATTTGACCTGTGGTCATTTTTCTTCTGAATTGCTCTCAGATACTGCTGCTAAATATTGAAACCAGAGCTCTGCATTAACGCCATGAGCTTTCAGGATCTATAATAGTTCTTTATATCCAAGAACTGTTCTGATATAGTATTAGACTCATGCTTGCATTTTGAAATGGGATCTCGGTGCTCATAACAGGCTTCACTTTTTTCTCTTCCCTCCACTTCCTCATGCAGTAGTAATTGAGAAAACCTCCCCCCCTGGGCCCGTGGAAGTAGCTCCTGAAGCTTCCACATCCAGTGCCAGCCAAGTGATTGCACCTACTCAAGTAACAGGTCAGTGCAGTATTTGCTGTGTTATGTATTACGTGGAAACGTGGTCCTGGGCTGTGTTTAAAACGTCATATCGGATTGCTTGTGACAATCATAACAGCAGATATTTGGAAGTAATGTGAATATTACTCAGAGAGGGGTATGCCTAAATCACACATATGCACAGAAACATAGGATGGTTGTTAATGTCTTAAAAGAATAATGCCGTGAAGAAATGTTTGTCTTAACATTTATTAAGAAGTACAGAGGAGGATGTAATTACTCCAATTTTACTTTTTAAATGTCTACAAAAACAGACAAGGTGACAGAAAATACTTTAGTGTGCCGCATTTTTCATCTTTGTTCTTTAGTATAACTTCATGTGTTTTTAAAATTCTTTATAATATATTTTAGTTACTAGTTTAAAATTATAAAGATATATTCTTTGTAAACAAATGCAAAAACTGAGACAAACTGACCGTGAAATTAACCATTGCAAAGTGTAAACTGGATCAGGGTTTCTGGAAAGCTCAGGATTGAGTAAATGTTGAGAACTTTTTTTGTATGTACTGAGGATTGAACCCAGGGGGCACTGAGTTACATTTCTCACGATTTTACTATCTCAAGACAGTCTTGGTAAGTTACACAAGCTAGCCTTGAACTTGGAAGCTTCCTGCCTCAGTTTCCCACTGCTGAAATAACACGTGCATGCCATCATGCCTGGCTATGTTCAGAACTTTTAACCCAGTAATCCTACGTTTCAGCAGATAATATGCCTAAAAATGTGAGATTAGTTTTTATACATGGTTATGTATCACAATACAGTATACAGTTGAGGAAAAAATAAAAATAACCTATACATTCAACCATACAGAAATAGATACTTGTATGTATGTATTGGAACATTATGCTGCCACTTTAAAGAATTTTTTGGAGTGTGTCAGGAAATGGCCATGCAATATGCATACATTTAGGATGGATATAAAAAACGAAATATGTAGAATATTATACCCATTATATACTTAAATATAATTCAGGGTGAATATATACCAGATAATAAGGTTTTTTTTTAATGAGATCTGAGAGGTTTAGATTATATTTTGTTTTTAGAAAGTTTTATATTTTCTATTTATTAAGTGGACATGTATTTTTAGAGTCAGAAGAAAGGGCCACCACAATATTCACATTGGAGGAATAAATACTGGAGGTCTATTATTCAATATGGTAACTAGATACTTAGAGTATAAAGTGTTCATAAAGAACACCTCAGGATCTGGGTGTCATGGGACATGCACATATAATCCCAGCACTCAGAAGGCAGCGGCAGGAGGATTGCCACAAATTTGAGGCCAGCCAGGGCTACGTACGTAGTGAGTTCAAAGCCAGCCTGGACTACATAGGGAAACTCTGTCTCAGAAAACAAACAAAGGACCAAGTAAGTGAACAAACAGCACCTCTTTCTAAGAGGGAACAGCAGGTGACTTGGAGAGCAGAGGCACAGAGTGGGCTCAACGGTGCCTTTTCAGCTACATCAGGGACAGAGCCAAGGCCCCTCTGCACTCAGTGCCTCTCCCCAAATGCATGATTTCATGGCAAGCACTCTTTGGTTTTACATCTAATACGGAGTAAAGTTCTATAGAAATATGAGCCATTCTCTAAATGTAGAGTGATACTGAAATGTTAGTGATTTTTAAAAAATGATCACAACTGAATTGCTTATTCTGTTTTTCTGGAGTCATAAACGTGTACACTGTCTATCAAATACATCTGTAAAAGTCTGCTCCTGCAAGATACTAAGCATGTAGTGTGCTGTCTTGATTAGCAAGGATCCTCTGTTTCTCTCAGTGTTAAGAACTGCAGTATGACAATACAGTTCACTAGTTCTTTCTCCAGTAAGCACCGTATTTCTGTTTTCCAGTGTGAGGATGAATTTAGTTTTGAATGAGTATTGCTGACTTCATTGGTCAAGCTTCTTGCAATCTAGCTTTGTAGAGGTTCAGTGTGGCCAGATCGATGTGGTTTCCTCATTCAAATACTGTGGTGTGAGGGATACAAATGGAAATTTCTGGGCTTCTACTGAACTGCAGAGCTGTATGAAAAAAAAAAAAAAATGAAAATAGCCCTGCTGCACAAGGTTGCCAGAAGATAGTTTAATTTGAACTTGGCAGCAGTGCTGGGGTAACACGGCCATCACACATTTGAGGCACAAGTATTTCCCTCCAGGAAACAAGTGACGCTGGATCCTTTTTTGCATGTCGCAGTTAGGGATACTTCCCCTTCCTCTAGAGTGAATCTGTCTAAAAGAATCTATGGGAAGAAAGCTATAAATAGAGATTCTTGGAACTGGAATGATTACACATTTAGAGCTACACCATGAACAGAGATCTACATTAACATAGAATACTCTTCTGTATCAATTGAAAGCAGAGTCAGCTGTGCCCATTGGTTTACTAAGGCCCAAACACACAGATTTAAGGAGCAGTCTGATCAGTTCTCTCAGGAATATTATATAGTTTCCCCTGTAAAATAAAAAAAGAAGTAAATTTTCCTTGTCACTGTTATTTTTCACCCATATTTGAAAAAAGAGGTAATATCAATAAATTTTAAATAATAAAGTCAGCTCTACATTGTTTAGCGATGATATCTTTATGATGGTGAGATTGCAAGTAGCCTTTTTAGGTTTAGCCAGACACATTTTGACACGCAGTAATTATGAAGTGAGCTGTGTATTTGCAGGAAGTAAGTGTGGTACTTTCCAGTTGACTTGGTGGCTTGAACATTATTGGCCTACTCTTCAAATAAATTATACAGTTCAGCATATAAATTCTTGGTTTAATATAGTATCTTAATAGCTGAAGGATAGTCTGGAAAATCAAGCCTCCATTTCTCTGGCAAATACAAAGTGGAAACATCTGTTCCAATTGTTGTGGGACAATTTCTGCTCATCGTGGGGCATTTAGGAAGCCAGGGCATTTTTGTAAACCTTTCCATGAGTTAACATTCGATGCCTTGCTCCGGCAGCTTTCCCCCAGCTGCTCCATAGCCCTGCGGACCAGCCCAAAATTATACTTTGTCTTCCATGACTGCCTTACAGGAACCTCTGTAATTATCATAGCCCAAACATTTAAAAACTGTTTGCTCCTCTGATTTTTCTAGCTCTCATAATTGACCCTTTTCAAAGACTTGTCCCCGAAACATATTCCTAGTATCATCAACAGTTTCCAAAAGCTATGTATTATGGCAGAAAATGAGCTTTAAAAAAATGTGAAATTATCCTGTTTTAATATTTCCAGACTCCATTTTTATGCATGCATTCATTCATGGGTTCATTCGTTCATTGACTGGATTCATCGCTTGAGGAAGATGTACAGCCTAAAAGTCAGTATATTCCTTTGGGCCACATTTTGCCCAAAGGTTTCTTTTTTATGTTATTGTAGAAAATAAAGTTACCAAGCTATTAAATCTGTCATTCGCCATGTCATTGGGATACGTAGAGAACATTTGACTTCTAAATTCTAAGTGATCTCTAATAAAAGAAATAATGGAGTGAGGCTGTCAGCCCAGGGAAGGCTAGGTTGTTTCAGGGGACAAACAGGAGGAAAGAGAGCTGTTTATGAGCCCACCTCTGGGTAAGCATTATGAAGGACTCTGGAAAAAACCCAGTGTGGGCGCGGGGCATGCCTGTCCTCTACAGGAAGCCAGGCCTACTGAAGACAAGGGAAGATGTTCTCATCCTAGGCTTATCCCGAGTCCAGGAATTAGTGCTGCCTGTGGGAGCTGTGCCCCTGCAGTGTGTCAGAGCCTTGTCTTCAGACCTTATGTGGAGAGTTTGCTGATTGAGTGTGTGCTTCCCTGTGAACAGACCCATCATGTGGAGACAGGTTCATAAGACTAAGTATGAGTGACTCCTAGAAAAATAGAAAGCATATTGTCTTTGCCCTAAAACAGGAAAAGCAGAAAACTTTCCTTGTTCTTCAAGATAGCAAGAACTCACTATGGCCGCGGACCTCACTCTGTTCCTTTTGTTAGAGTTCACTTAGAATTTAGAAGCCAAATTGTTCTCTGTGTATCCCAACACTGTGGATGTGCTTGAGAATGAAAAGAAGAAGAAAAGAGAGGAATCTGGGGAGAGATAGCAGCAGACAGATATTAGGCATTTCAAGATGTGTTTCATTCTTTCTTTTATTTTCTTAAGAAGAAAACCCGTGATGCTGACTGTGTGCTGACAGGTTAATAGACGACAGTGTTTAGAAGGGTGTCGCTCTTTCTGTCTACCTAGATGAGTGGAATCCTGCCTCATAAATGAGCAAAAGGGAGCACTGCAGTCAAAATGTTGAGAGTTACAGTAATCAGGTAAAAATGGGACAGTTAGTGTAGAAATCAAGTATGTTGTTGAAATGTCCCTTTCTTCCCCGGATGTGTCTCCTAGTACCCTCTAGTGGTGTCAAAGTGGCATTTTCATGGATAGGTTTAATGCTTGCCAGGCAGGACCAACATTTTTAGCTTGTATCTCTGTGTACTTACCTGGAGATAACCAAATACAATTCCTCAACATTCTTTATCAATATAATTTCAACTTCATAATTTCTATTTAAGCTGCTGGCCATGAGGGAAAGGTTATTGTTACTCATTTTATTTCCTGCAAGTAAAGTGTTAGAATTTTTAGTAAAATTCTACCTTAAAGCTAACTTGAGAAGATTTTGAGTTCAGATCAACTTGGGCTGCCTAGCAATTTCAAGGCCACCTGAACTCCATAGTGAGACCTTGTCTCAAAAAACAAGAAATTAGTTATGTGTGGGAGTGAGGTAGTGACTGCTGATGACACCTTTCAAACAGACTCAAGATTTGCAGCCTTTTACTATTTTCTGAATCCTAGCCCCAAGTACTGTATTTTAGTTTGCCTTCTATGGAATTCATTTTCTTTCATACACAAGATCAACATTTCTTTCCCATTTTAAGAAAATGGCAGTGGAGAGCACAGAGGACAGTTAGTAATTGCAAAGAAAACCAAGAAATCTAAATAGGAACTCTTATAATGTATACCTATAATATAGAAAAGACAGGTGTATTTCTTATATTGTTTAATGAAGAAATTTCTACAGAGAAGAGCGTTCTTATCTAAAGGTCTATAAGTATAACCTAGTGGAGTCAACCTTATACCTTCAGATTTTTGTAGCATATAAAAATACTTTTTTAAGGAAAACTTTTCCAATTATGAAAGTAGTATACTAACATGTGCTCATGGTATAAAGTGAACAAGAAATATCAGTCCCCAAGTAATAAAATATTTTCTTCCAATCTTATTTTTTGTAATTTAGAGTAGTTTAGTAATGTGTTAGAGTATTGCGTTATATTACAGTGTTTGTGCCTGTATTTTTAAGAAGTGTTTCCTTGTTCTGCTAATGAGTATATATTCTATGATATATACCTATCAAAATTTGGTTTGTGTTATTGCTGATTGTTGAAGCATTCATATTAATCAATTTGTATTAATAGGTTTAGCCTTTTGGATTTTCTTTTTCTAAAATTTGATAGCATATTGTCTCCGAACAAGTTTATTTTCTGATGGCTAATTGGCATAAATTAACTCATAAAAGATACCTGTAATTTTGAAATACACAGCTTTTTATGCATTTCTCATACATTCATGTTTCTCATGTAACTTACATGTGTAGTTGTAAAGTCACGATACATTGAACACTTTATGAAAATGAAGAATGTGGTTGCAGTTTGGGAGAGCAACCTGAACCCCTATTTTAGACCATTTCACTTGTGAATCTGGGGTAAAGCACTGTTTTTTCACATCCTTTTTCTGCAGAATTTATAGCGAGTTATTAGTGACAGTAATACACCTGCCTTCTCATTCAAACCACAATACCCTGTCGCACAGCAGTGCCTTCAGTGTATCATGCTCAGAGGTGCCAGTCTGCTCATGGTATCACCGACATAAGTGTGTTATTTCCTTATTATATATTTGAAAATGATTTCAATATAAACAGCAGCAACAGTGACAAGAACGACTTTCAGTCCGTGTAATGTGCCGGGAATTAGGCTACATGCATTATTTAGTTTTTCTCTTTGCAGCCTGATACTTTGAAGTTGGAACTCTGATTGTTTCCATTTTATACTTATAGAAAAGTGATATTTAGGTCGGCTAAGTAGCTTTAAAGGGCAACAGGATTTGTACCAGCTCCTCTCAGAAGGCCACTTGTGAGTCCTGCATCCTGCTCGTGCTGGGGCTCCTCCTGTGGGCTCTGTGAGCCTGCCTTCTTTGTGGCGTGTGTCTGAGTGGTGTGAGCTTACACAGGTTACCTGTCCACACTCTAGGGAAGAAGCAATCTCCAGGCATCAGCAGGAGCGTAAGGAAGGGATTTGGAAGAGGGATCTACTTTACCGATCTAAATAAATTCTTATTTTTATCAAAGGAAGAAGGTATTTGAAGGGGGCTAGTAAGAAGTTTTGGAGGAGTTTGGGAATAGTTGTTGCAGTGGAGATTTTGCCTGCTAATGCAGAAAATTCTGCATTTCTTATCAGGAGAAATCACATGTTGGTTCAAACTCCATCATCTAAAATGAAGCATGGAGAGAACCTCCAAGCAGCTGTATTGGGGTTTTGTTTAGAATCGATCTCCTTGTGACTTTCAGCTTAGCTTCTGAGTTCCCGCCCACTCTAGTTCCTCCTACACATTGTTTCTTGTGACTGTTGATGACCTTGAATGGGGCAAGTCAATACAAAGCCATCCCAGGAATCTATGCTGGATTTCAGAAGTCAGCTTGAAGTGCATACCTGGCAACTTTAAAAAAAGTTTTTTTATAGCTACTGAAGAAACACAAAATAATGGCTTGCAAGTAGCAATTAAATCTTTGTGTACGTCTGTGCTTTCCTCACACTACTTTGTTTACTTTTATCTTTAAAGAAATCAATGAATGTACTGTGAATCCGGATATCTGTGGAGCAGGACACTGCATTAACCTGCCAGTGAGGTACACGTGCATATGCTACGAAGGCTACAAGTTCAGCGAGCAGCAGAGGAAATGTGTTGGTAAGAGATGCTTTAGTAGACATAATTAGTACATGCCAAACATTTGCACAGTTCGCACATTCTTTTCTTGAACAGGATCTTGAGAAAATATTACTGTAATTTTTAAAATGCTGCAGCTAAGGGACTCAAAGAAAATGTTGCCAAACTTCTGGGATTCTCTTCTTTTTCAGTGCTATCAACCTTGCCAAATATAATACATTTACATAAAGGTAGAATAATTTACAGAAATTTGTCAGATAAATAAAATAAGAGCTTTAGAAATAGCTGCCCACAAACATATTTAAGAAAAGCTGGTTAATATATGGTGTAATAAAATTCTCATTAAGTACTTAAAATCTGATTTCCAAAGCAGATTTCTAAATTGAAGATCCATCTGTGCTGGCGTGAAAGTGTTAACGCATTTATACAGAAGAGATCTCATATGTGTTTCTTTGGAATGAAAGGTATCTCAGTTATAATAAAGTTAGGTAAATTATTTTAATGTTAACTCTAAATATAATTTCTTTTCTTAAAAAAGGAAAACTCAGCTCTAAGTTATAGAGCATTGGCAAAGTAAACCCAGCAAGAAAGGTACATATCTAGTAGTACTTCAGTATCAGCAACTTCTGTGTGTACATACGGGATCTAAATGGAGTCATCTGTCAGCTTAGTAATGTGGTCCTTTTCTTCTCATTTGCCTACTTTGTGTAAATTCACCTTTAGAACCTAAAATATTAAGGAGAAAAATCAATTGAGCTCCCCTAATCCAGGTCCACCCTACACCTGATGGAGTCTGGCTGTCATTATGACAGTGGAGTCCAGGGCCTGGTGACCCTAGGTTGTCCACAGTGTCTCTGAGTGTTGACCTGCAGTCTGTCTCTCTGAAGCACCAATGCCATGGTTTTTAGCCTCAGCCTTTGAAACAATATGTAGTAAGCTGCTTGCCTCTTCCCATTCATCATCCTTCAAGGACTTGGGATGAAAAGCCAGATCTCTTTCCACTGTTCTGTTCAGTTCCAAAGGTTTGTGGTCCCACGGAATAGTGTGCTGGAGACACAGCGCTAATCTTCGTACATGTGTTTTTGTTTTGTTTTGTTTTTTAACAGACATTGATGAATGTACTCAGGCCCAACACCTCTGCTCCCAGGGACGCTGTGAAAACACGGAGGGAAGTTTCCTGTGTATTTGTCCAGCAGGCTTTATGGCCAGTGAGGAGGGAACTAACTGCATAGGTAATGATGGTGTTTTTGATGTATGTATCTGGGGTTTTAGGCTACTCATCCCTTCGTTGGGACCCATGCTTAATCAGATAATCTAGAGTTTATTAAACACACATTATGACATGCAATCTGCTAGGCACTGGGAAAGATAAAACAGATTTTTTTCCTCCAAGGAGGAGTATCAGAGATGTGCTAGACAGTGTGATTTTGGAGCAGTCAAATCAAAGGGATGAGAACAGAAACCAGTTACTTTTGTGTTTACATCTGAACTATGCTAGGAGAGGTATGAACTGATACTTTGGAAAAGAAATCTTGATAGTGCTTTCTTCTTGGAGTAGATGTGGACGAGTGCCTGAGGCCAGATGTATGTGGCGATGGCCACTGTGTCAACACCATGGGTGCCTTCCGGTGTGAATACTGCGACAGTGGGTACCGCATGACCCGGAGAGGCCGTTGTGAGGGTGAGTTGGCCGAGAGGCATGGGACACTGTGGCCTTGCTCATGCCGAGCACATTGGTGGTAAAATTCAGGGCTGGTCCAGGCCCTGGGCGGGCAGGCATCCCACCTGGATCATGTTTTCCTCTCCTCTCTGCATGACACTGGCATCTCCCACCTTCTGCTCTCTGGAGTCAGTGCCTGGCCTCGCTGCAGTGATTCCATCTGGTTTATTTTCCTTCTTGATGTTCTCTTTATTTTTCACCTCAGTATCTACCTTCCCTGGTATTTGGAGTAAGATCACTTTATAACAATTAATTGCAGAGTATCCTAGCCCAAATCCAGATATAATTAGAGTGTCTGGCTCGTTCATCTAGAAACATGTTGCAGGTGTGACTGGTGTTGATTTTTCGTTTCTGGCCTTTTCACCTTGGTGCATTCCTGGTCTCCACTGCCTCCTTTTGCACACGTTCTGCGACTCACTTCAGCAGCACTGTCTGCCCAGCTCGGGGTCAGATTCCAACAGTGCTAGATAAAAGTCTTCGTTCTCACCACTGGCATGCGTTAGTGCTTATTAGAAAAATGTTTTGGGAACTGCGGATCACACATCAGAATTCTTTTCCAATTAAAATTTCTGTTCATGGAAGTGTCCAGGTGACACATGTTCTTTTTGAAACCACCATGGTTTTTTTCTTTTTCCTGAAGAAATTCCTGAGCTGCTGCTGCTATGATCCTGCATGAACATGTGACGGCTGAGGCTCAGGGTTCTCTGGACTAGTGTTTGCAGAGCTTGGATATGGGTGTGTTGCTTGGTCATGGCTGCTGGCAGATCCACCTCTTGTCTGATGTGGCTAGATTCGTAAGAGTTAGGGTGGGACAGATTGGGTGGACCAGTCTGTGTCAGGTGTCCCCTGGGTTCAGCATGTTGGTTTTCTCCACAGCTCCAATGACCAAAAATTGGAGTGAGCACTAATGACACATTTTTTAGCAGCTCACATCTGTGTCTTCTGCTAGTCTCTTGCCTCAGCCCCTTGGACAAGAGAGAGAGAGAGAGAGAGAGAGAGAGAGAGAGAGACAGACAGACAGACAGACAGACACACACACACACACACTAACACATAGAAACAGAGGCAGAGGAACGGAGTGAGAGGGAGAGGGAGAGGAGAGAAAGAAAGGATACAACCATGCATCCATAGATGAAGGACTGTGGGACGGGTGCCAGCGCATCCACAATGTCCTCGTCCAAGGAATTCTCCCTCTGCTACAGAGAGGCAGCTCAGGAATGGGAAGGAGTAGGGACTAGAAATAACACACCATTCCCACCTGTGGTGCCTGCTCATCCTGAGCCAGTTACTCAGAACTTGTGGAACTTAGTTGATCACCTATAAAATGGGAGTTTTGACTCGAACTTGTCATGACTAAAGTGTGTGTGGCATTGTCTGGTATGGCACTTGTCACTCCATGAATTCTCAACGTTTAATTTCTTTAAATCTCTCTTCCTTGGCTCCTTCAATATATGCCCAGTCTTCTCATTGCCTCTAACTATGAGGTGCGCTAAGAAAAATGAGGGATGGGTTTATTTGCCAAGCTTTTATGTGCAAAGCAGCACTGAACAGTGAAGCCAAATACTCACCCTTAACATTCCACATATGTCCACAGAATGAAGAGAAAAAATGCTTAAGCAATAGGGATAGAAAAGGGTAGACACAAAATATGAAGATTGTGTAACTAAATCGAAAGCTATTGACTATTCAGTAATACTCAATATATGGTAATTATTTAACAGAAATATTACCAGGCTCCCTGAGTAAATAATAGATCATTCTATCCTCATCAAAAGGCTGGAAAGGAGACGAAGCCAAACAATGAGGCTGTTTTCTAATTTCGTTGTGGACCAGAACCAGAGGTCCCTGGGCTTCTGGCTCACTGAAGATTTTCTCAGCTGTCACTAACGAAGCTGCTTTCAAACAGCACCAGTCTCCAAGAGGCCTATTGTGGTGTGCAGACATTATCTCATTCATTCTTGCTGTGTTCTGTTGAAGTATTTCAAGGCAGGTATCCCCTAATTTATAGAGGGTACAAGTGAACAGTGAGAAGAGCAGCAGGAGAGGCAGGAATGTTTCTCTGTGATGCGCACCATTGCCCCTTATTTATTGGACCAGCCTGTATCAGTGACATTCTCTGATATAACAGTTATGTTTCTATGTGTGAAAATTTCATCCAAAGGAGAATGTAATTCTGTTTGGAAAATGAAACTGGCAAGCATCATATTTTTTACAGAACAAAAAGTCCCAGAACATCTGACCTTGTACGAGAGAGGGAGAGAGAGTGGGAGGGCGAGAGGGAGGGAGGCAGGAAAGCAGAGAGAGACAGAGAGAGAGAGAGAGAGAGAGACAGAGAGACGGAGACAGAGAGGCTGTGTGCCATTGTGTATTGGCAAAAGTTTTTCACAAATGTTACAGCACAGATAAACTGATATGTATTTTGTTTATATCATCTTCCACATTTTCACTCTAAGCATCTTTCCACAAATGTGTAAGGTTGTGTAGTGAGAAAAGTTTTATAAATCGGCTGGAACAAACACATCACATATTCCTGATTATTTATTTAGTGAACTAGTTGTGTATTTCTCCCCTTAATTTCTCAGCTTTTGTTCTAAAAATCTGTGTATATATTAAGTATGTTTAGATGTCCTGTAAACTGTACATTTTTGTATAGAGACACATAGATATTAAATCTGTTCACCTGAATGAAAAATCTGCTTCCAAAAAGAAGCACTTCTTTCAAATGGGGCGTTTCTTTCACTCATTTTTAAGCCCTTGACTTTTATTTTAAAAAATCCCTAAAGTTATATTAGTAGTTAACTCTACCATAACAATAGCCATATAAGGCAATTTTTCCCAATATTAGAAAAATTTATAATTAATAACTAATTAGCAATGAAAATGAATGTAACGTACATTTTTCCCAAACAATACCACCATGTTTCCTAGAAAACCTTGAAAGTATATGGTGAGTTCACTTTCAGTGTTTGTTTTCTACCTCCAAGGAATTCCAGTCATTTGAAAGCTTTAAATTAGCCAAAGCTAGGCTGTTCCTGAGTCCATAAAAGCAAAGAGAGGGTTTTGCTAGAGTTGTGATGGCAAACCTTTTAGAGGCATGCCAGTGGTTTACCACCACTGCCCTAGATCATCCAGTGTTGAGAGAAAATCTCCAGCCAATGGGAGATGTGCAGTCCCATCTCCTCATTTCTTGTATTTCTTTCTGACAAGATGTCCTGTGACTTGAAAAATTATGATGTCCAGAAATGGCCCCAGGTAGAGTCTTGTATATTGAACTCTCAACCTGGGTTTGCCAGTTGAAGAATTCAGACCACGTTCTTCCTTGAGGTGTGTGAAGATACTTTAATCCAGGTATACCTGACCAGACATTATTGCTGTGTGTTTTGGCTAGACCCAGGATCTCACCCAAGTATCGTGCTAAAATGTAGCTGTCACATGCTTTTTCCCACAAAAGCAAAACTTCACCTTGGTATTCTGATAAAATGTCTGTGATCTAGTTTTTTTTTTTTTTTTCCTTCAGATATTGATGAATGTTTGACTCCAAGTACTTGTCCAGATGAGCAGTGCGTGAACTCTCCTGGATCTTACCAGTGTGTGCCCTGCACAGAGGGGTTCCGAGGCTGGAATGGACAGTGCCTTGGTAGGTGCGCTAGCATCCTTGCCTGAATGTGTGCTTCTTCTGTGTGGCCCATTTTCTGATAGTGGTATAGTGCCCATTTAGCCTTCCTCTGAAATGGAGGGGGTGGGGGAGAGTTTTCATTATTCTCAGAATTTTAAGTAATTTTTAACCACAGAGAGAAGAAGCAAAAGGATTGACATCAAGGATGTGAAATTCTAGGTGGAATAAATTCTGATTGAAATAAGCTGAATGAACAACAAACTGTGGTCCCTAATCTGACAACCGAAATAAAATAATAAGCACTGCAGGGAAGAGAGAGATGAGAAAAATGCTTTAAAAAGAGAAGAGGCCTAGAAGAAGGGAGAAGGGACAGGAGACATGCACACAAATTTGCCGTAGAAGTAGCAAGTGTGGTGCCTTCGCCTCCGAGGAAGACGAAGTGATGAGTTTGCTGCGGGTTTTCTTTTCCTCTGTGTATCTGTGCACCACATAATTTTTTTTTCCCTTAAAAGTCCAGCTTTTTTCCAAACCGTGCCAGGACTCTGAATATGTGAGTTAATATTTTCACCCATTCCTTTTTTGCTTTCTTCCCCGACTTGTTAAGAACTTTGTATGTACCCCAGAGTTGTAGTAGGTTCTAGAATAGATGGAGGGGCAAAGCCAGATGGGACTCCTTCCTCATAGGCCTTACCTTTCATCTCACAAATAAACGAATAGCTCAAGCACTAAGCAGGAAGGAGAGGTCTGTGATAGATTGAGCTGCCTGCAGAATGGTGGTTGTGTTGAGATTTAACGGGGATGGGGAGGACATTGTGGGCTTGGAAAACGCATATGCAAGGGGCTTTGGGAAGGGGAGCAGGTCTTGTTACAGAGGGCCAGCGTAGCTAAAGACGGAAACAAGGGAAGACGTGCTGCAGCGTGTGGTAGGGGACCGTGTAAAGCCCTTACCTCCCGATTAAGTGTCACTCTTTATTCTGATAACTCTGGGAAGCCATTTCCGTATTTTAGAAGTGTGGGGATAAGCAGGTGGTAGAAACATCCTCAGATTCAAAGCTCAGCAGCATCCGCTCAGCCCTGGTAGCTGGTGTAGGTGGCCCCCTGTCCTGAGCCCCAGACACATCCATAGAGCGTCTGCTATGGGATTGTGAGGTGTAGATCTTTGAGGAATAAAGAAAATATTTTTATTCATTAGTTGTTTATTTGATAAGCATTTGTTTATATAATTGGTGCTAGCCAGAAAGTATATTTGATTTTAATTTTCCCATTTGGCATACATTTTGTAGTTGGTCGTCCAAGTCCTATTTGTGCTCTCATGCTCACATGCCGATGCGTAATGCAAGACAGGTGCCTTCACTTTACATTGAATGAACTGTGACTTACAATACAGTAGTACACGGTAACTCTGATTTTAGTGGAATGTGACTGACCAAAGTGGCAGGTGATTGATCTTCTATGTAAATAATACTAGTTGAATTATTATACTGTGGTGTGCATATACATATACAAATGTTTGCATATACGTGTGTGTGTGTATATTGGAGCACTTTAATCCATTTCAGTGACAGAAATGTAGCACCTCATTTAAAAGCAGTTTTACTTTTGCCAACCAGATGAGTGGACTCATAAGCAGATATATTAGGTCACTGTGTTGCTCAACTCCACCAACGTGACACATTCAGTCCCTTGTTCCAAGCAATCACTTTTGTTCCTGACTTGCTGAGGTCTTGAATTTCTTGTTACTCAGAGTAGGCAGTGTACTTTTTCCTTCTGCGTTGGGTAAGATTTTGGGCTGTATGTAATCTATGGATCGAATCACTCTTCCATGATAGAATTGCTGCTGCATCCCTTGTTCAAATGGAGCTTGTGCAGTTGCTGAATCTCTCATGAGGGCTTTTGCAGATTATACTGAAACAGATTTTCCATCTTAACTTTTTTTGTGGTAATAGAGCTTTCAAGTGTTGAAAACCTGAGTGTGACCAAGAGCAGATACTGCAGCACGTCTTCCTTCTCCTACTGAGCCAATGAGTGGACTGAATTTTTCCCCAAAATGCTGATGAATTCTTAGCCCTGTCTTCTTGTGCCTCTATGTGTATTAGTCTCTCCACCTTTGTACTTTAGCGCTCTACAGTACTTTTCAGAAGGTACAGTCTTAAGCCCATCTTAGAGCTGAGCCAACTGATAGCACAACCTGACATGTGGTTATTTGCTCATTTAATAAGTATGCTGAGGTTTACAATTGAGAGTGAACTGAGGAGGCGTCCCTGATTGGACACACATGCTAGTGCTTGAAGCTTAATAAGTAAGCAAGGAAAACAAATGGCATGTCAGATGTAGTGAACAGTGAGAGAAAAATGATAAAGCTGTCTGTGGGACGCAGATAGGGGTTGCTGGAGACCATCTGGTAGCCAGGATGGCCAAATGATATGTTATAATTAAGGTATTCCTAACAGTCACGTGTGACCCTTTTTTTTTTTTTTTGTTTTTTGATATCCTTTTAGTGCAGATAATTTAGGATATAGTGATATTTTTCTCATTGGTGTAATGTAAGAACATAAAAGCTTTGAAAATTTCCTAAAACCATGCTTTGTGGAAAAAACCCTACATTTGGCATTTGTTAGTTACTATCTGTAGAAATGACAGTCTCTACCTCCTAGAGCTGTGGCGTTTCAGATATCTGAGTTTCTTTTTCTAGGACTCTCTCACTGGCCATGTCAAACAATGTTTTACATAATTACATAAACTTGTCATAATACTTACTTTTTTCTTTAAACTTGTCTATGTTCATGTCAGTTGACTTTGACTGTTTTCTCTTAAAAGGCTTCATTAAGAATTGCTGTTTTTCATAAGTGAAATGAATCCGACTGTCATGTGTGGACATCATACTGTCTCCCTGATGTGAGAAACTGAAAAAGTAAACAAGGTCTAGAATGCACAACAGGTATTATGAAATGGCAGTAATTGTTTGAAAGGAAAAAGGAACTAGGATAAGAGGACAGGAGAAAAGAAAAGGGGGAAAAACACAAGGTAGCTATGCTACTGCGTCCTAGTTCACTGAAAAGGAAGGTTTGTGCTAATATTGAGTGGTGATTTTTTTATGCCCATATCTTGTATTCTGAGTAACTACTTCGAAGGTAACAATATGCACTGTGTTACTATTGCTATTCTCCTATTTTGTTACGAAATTGTTTTACTTTTTTTCAGTAAAACTAAAAAAAATGAAAGAATTACTGTTTTAGGGGCTGGAGATTTAGCTCAGCGGCATAAGCGCCTGCCTTGCAAGCAGGCAGTCGTGAGTTTGATCCCCGGTACTGATAAAAAGGAAAAAGACAAAAAAAAAAAAAAAAAGAATTACTGTTTTGACCCCTATATTCTGCAGGTTTTGGTGTGAGTTACACTTTTTCATTCATAGAGTGAAAAATGAAATTGGTGAACTATTAGTGGACCCATTGTATTCATGTCATATACGATGGATCTTTTGTTTTGTTGTGGTGGTGGTGATGGTTTGAAGACAGAGGCTCACTATATTACAGTCCAAGCTGGCCTCAAACTCTCAATCGTCCTGTCTCAGCCTCTTGAGCACCGTGATTGCAAGTATATGCTGCCACACAAGGCTTATAAAATGGATCTTACTGATTGATGCCTCTCTTAATTTATGAATTACAATAGAAATTTTGTCTTTAGAAATTGCATGGAAATACGTAAAATGTTAACAGGTGTTTCATGGAAACTGCATTTTCTCCCTAGTGTTTAGTTCAGGGTATATGTTAGCAATCATTTTTGTCCACTTCAGATATCTATAATTTTCAGACTCCACCTAACACATCACCCCATAATGCTTTTTGGCAACTCTTGTTGGCTCTTGTGCTAATGTAGCTGCTTCTTTCAAGTTGAGAGTGCAGTCTCCTCTCAGGAGCCCCTTTCATTTGTCAACACTGCAGTGCTTGGACCTCATAGCCAGCGTGGACTTGTTGCCCACTTGATGACCCCTGTGCTTAATGACTGCTTCATTGCAGTGGGTTCTGGCTGATTCCCATCGGCTGCTGCGCCCAGAACCTCTCCTAAGGGAAGCCAGCCTGTCAGGTACTCAATTTACAGGTTCTCTTCACGCATAGAAGAGAAGACAGCTGGCACCGTTCAAACCTGATGAAAGCCATCCCCAAGGAAATGCGCTCATATTTCATCATTTAAGGATAACATTTGGTGTCTCTGATAGAGGGTCTCAGTTCACTAAAATTAGATGTACTTTGGTTTATGCAATTTTTCTGGAGCTTCATTTAGAATACTGAAAAAAATTGAAATATCTTTTTGTAGGGTTTATTACCAGAATTAAACAAATGTTAGAATCCTTGTTCTCCCAACCATAGCACTGTTCTCTTTATTGCCTTTGTCATAAAATATAAGACATATGGTAATAACTGATACCTGTTAAGGTAAACTATATGCCACATTTCTCTGTTCTGTTCAGTATACTGTCTAACCGTATTTATTCTCTTTGGCTTTTTTTTTTTTAACTTGTGTCATAGAGTTTTTAACTCTTCCTATGAAATAGAAGTTTTCTTTTATGAATAAAAATAATTTTATGGTTTCTTTTTGACTTAGCATTTTTTTTACATAGGTAGAATATAATTTTGGGGAATCAATTTTCTATGGGGTCATTAATAATTCTTTATATATAATTAAGCTTCTACACTAATGATGCTATTTCCACTTTTCATTTTATATTTTCTGTCCTTCACAAGACAGAACATTTGTACTCTGGATAGCAGCCAGTGCTTTGTGGAGCCCGTGGTGACCATATGACATGTAACACACATGTCTAACATTTTATCAGCATTCTTTCTTTGTTAATCTCTAAGTAAAAGATCGCTTTCTGAATTCCGTGTAAGCCTTCAACGTATTAGTCCTTAGAATTTTTTTTTTTTTTTTTTTGGTACCAGGGATCAAACTTACAACCTTGTGTTTTCCAGGCCCATGCTAGTGCTGCTGAGCTAAACCCCCAGCAGTTCTTAGCATTTGCAGAAACTAATATTGTTCAATCCAGTTAAGAACTGGTTAGCTACACTCTTAACCAAACCCAGACCAGAGAACTGGCAGGATAAAGATAGAGAGCTCATTGTTCTAGATATTCTTTTTACAGTTTAATAGGTTTATTTTCAAGGTTCAAGCTACCCTTTGGAATTTATGAATATTCATAGACTTCTATAACTTTTGTTCATTATTTATTTATTTATTTATTTATTTATTTATTTATTTATTTTTGGTGCCAGGGATTGAACTCACCTCGTACTTGCCAGGCAGGTGCTTATCCTGCTAAGCTAAATTCCTGGCCCCACTACGTTTATTTTTATATAACCTAGCATCAGAGCATATATACTTTTTGCAAATTGTATAGACTGTGCAAATGTCAGTCTTAAATTGCTATATATGAAAGAAGTCTTTCAACTAATCACTAGGTTATTAATTAAGCAATTGACCATATGTCTATTAAATGCCAGAAAAGATTTGAAGTTATAGAAACAACGGTGACAGTACCTTATGTTTAGAGGCAGGGAAGGCAGGGACCATGCTCATATGGGAAGAATACTTACTGTAATAAATACTGCTAATTATGTAGCTTACAAAGGACTTAATTGGGTTGTTTTATTTGATCCTTACAGTAATCATCCCTGTAGGACAGATGTGAAAATTGATGCTCAAAGAGGTTAATAGACTTACTCAAACGGGCAATAAACGGCCAAACCAGGCCAGAACCCCAGGTCTCTTGTCCATAAATCCAGTGTTCATTTTTGCATCACATCTCATACACCTCTTCTGTATAAAAGTTCATAAAGAGAAGGAATGCTTGTGGGTGGCAGTCAAACCGTGTAAGCAGTGGCAATAATGGCTCAAGGATTCCAGAGTTTGAAATGGCAGGTCTGCACCACAGGTACTGCAGCTGTTTTTCTGAAAGATGGAATGTTCTTTGGGAAGGTGAGTTAAGAAGCTAGTAATTTTGTGGAATTAGTGGATTGATTTTTCTGAGGTCATCCTTGGCTCTTTATATAGGATGCTCACAGCCTTGGCTCTTTTCCAGTTCTGAAAAGCAGCGATGATTCTTCAAGAATTGTGTAACAGATTTTTGTCAGCAGCTCTGCTACTGCGTATTTTAACTTCATCAGAATTGACAAAGGGGCCTGAGACCTGGGGCTTAACTGTATGTCACATGTGCTCAGAGTTGCCTCATCACACTGACCTGATCAGCGTCTGTCTCTTTTTTCAAGCTTGTTTTCTGTCACATATGTTCTCCCATCCTCTTTAGGATAAAGTACTGTGCGTGGAGAGTAGTTGGGGAATCACTGAAGTGGTGGCACATTGTGGTGGCCAGTAATCCTGTGTTTTTGTGTCACTATAGTGCTGGCGTGAATTCAGATGGTGCACGTTCATCGAAAATGACCTCAAAGAAATGATTGGTTCCCATTGATAAAAGATTCTTCTTGAATCCTGAAAGCAGAGGAAGTGATGCATGTAAATAATTGCTTTGGAACAAATTCTAGCTGACACCAAGGAACGGATAGGTGGGATGTGAGAGGCGGTCCATACAACGTCAGGAGAGCCTGAGCATGACTGGCAGAGTCAGCATCTGAAGATCCCTCTCTGCCTAGCAGGTAGCCTGACAGGGAGAGACTTGAAGCAGTCTGGTGTGTTCCTGGGATATTAGGAAGGTAGATGCAGAAAAGTTCCTGACCCAGATGAGTGACATCCCAAGGCAAGAAAAGAATGAGCAAAGCGGGCTGCTGGCCAGAGGAGAGAAGTGGTTGTGACATTGTGGTGAATGGAGAGTCGTTAGAGAGTTAGAGGTTAGTGTCTTTATTTCTGCTCGAATTGTTAACTGCTGATCTTCATGCTGATGATCACAATGAGTTGAAGCGTCTTAAAAGGAAGAAATGATTCTAACAATCAGTCAGGGTTCTGTAAGGATAAATGATGCCAGATTATCCTGTCTTTTTTGGTGAGGGTGTTGGATGGATAGCTCAGGAAGCCCAGGGCCTGGCATTTTAGAATGTCTTGGAGTAGATGAGAAGGATCAATTTAGACTGAGTGATTGCAGAGTAAGATAGATGCATAAACTTTAGAGCTATAATATCTACAAAGTCTCACCTTGTAAATCTTGGGCAAGTTTCTTACTCTAGAAGGCTCAACAAATGTTGAATTATGGTGTCCTCTCAGCCCACTGGTAAATTGTTTGGCACTTAAAACCCATTTTTCTACAGAGCAGTATACATTTTAAGTTTCCCGCCTGAGATAGAACATTAAGGTCTTTTGTATTCATTGTATAAATGCAGTGAGATACTTGGGTAATGTGAATATTCTGTAAGGCCATACACTATCTTGGAGTAAGATGGGGTTTGAGCTCTAATACGGAAAACTAAATATTTAATTTTCTCCCTCTGCTATAGTGGTGACTTCAGGAGTATGTACAGTGGCCTGGTAGAGACCTTACTTCCCAAGTAATGAGCAGTACTATTGATTAGATTTGTGTTTTAGACAGTTTACTCTGGCTGCATGATAGATAATTAGGCTTAGGAAAACAAATTACAAGATTATGGCAGTAGTCTAGGTCAGAGGAAAGGGCAGTAGTAGGAATTAAATGAAGTAGGTGATTTAAGAGATACTTGGAAGGTAGATTGATGAAAGGTTGACTCCTAGTTTTTGATTGTGAGGGAATAGTTGTACCCCTATATTGATATGGTAAACAACATAAAAGGCAGGGGAGGGATCAGTTTTAGCTTTGAAAACCCAGACACTTACGGGATATCATGGGATATCCAGTGCCAGCTGGGTCCTGGATATGCATTTTAGGAGGGAAGTTTGGACTGGTGTTTTCATTTGTGACCATTCTCTAGACCCCTTTATTCTTTGCAGAAATTCTTTATTGAGGTTATACTTTTAGAGTTATTTCTTCCAGGGAATAATCTCCATTAAGACCATATACTCATTCAATTTAAACTGCTCTCTCGACATATAAATGCTTGTTTTGAAATGATTCTGGTTCCATACAATTTTGTCTATAATGAGTAAAGAGAAGAGTCAACGTATCAGACTACCTAGATATTTCACAGCATTCTGCTTCATCATTTATCATAGTAGTAGCTGAAAACTAGCCTTTATAAGTATGTTAAAAATGATCATCTGCAGAGTCTGTTAACTTACTTTAGAGCAAAATACGGTCTTAGAAATTGATTTTTCTGTTACATTTTGCAGCCCTCTAAGTCACTTTCTCTGATGCATGCATAATTAAAGAGAGAAATCTATACATTTCTGAACTTGTTAACATTTTTGAAACCAAACCAGATACTAGACATGACATTTTCCCGTTGCCGTCTGGAATTTCCATGCCTAGTGTCTAGGCTCGTTCTGTTCCATTATTTATTTTGGCTCCAGTGCTTGGCTTCTTCTTTCAAGTTGTTTGCTTTTAGCTTTTACAAAAGTGGATTCCCACAACCAAAGAAATGAGTCAGTCTGGAAGTACTATTTTTGTTGTCCTGGACCGGGATCAGTTCACCATAATTAGTGATATTTTGTGAAAGCAACTTGAAATACCTAGGCAATGCCAATTCCTGGCCTCTTCTGATTATGTGAACAAATGAATACTTGCATTGATATCCCTTTGGCATATTTTAGTACAAGTATTTCTGAATTCTATTGAAAGAAAGATAGAATCATTTTAAATATAGTGTAAGTGAATGCAGTCTGAACTCTGGGTTGCTGAATTAAGATCAGATCTATGTTGTCTGTGTGCCTGTGATTCTCTGACTTAAAGGAAAGCTTTATTATTTTCATAGTGAGCATTAAAAAATGAAATTTATGCATGCAAGAGCCTTTTCCTCTTCATTTTTTGTCTGTTTTATGATTAAGATGTTTTAATTTACAGACTCATATAAAGCTTAGCCTAAATTGTGATGTGGCCTGGGATGTTTTACCATTTGGTGGTTAACTTTTTCCTAAATTTTGGAATATTGATGCTACATTAATGTCTCTCATTGAAACATACAGTGGACTTACCCCAGGGCATCCAGATAGAGTAGCAAATACAAAATTTTCTTTTTGAATGATAATATTTGGTAAAAACTTACTGAATTTTGTTGAATGAAATCCATGAAGATTTATTTAAATCTTCAGTATGAACACTGTGCTAACAAATAATAAAAAGAAACATAAACTCATGCATTCCTCTCTCTAGTCTTTGCCTCTGATGAAAACTTGTTGCCAGATTAGAAGAATGCACTTTGGATTTAAATCTCATAACTACTGTTTCCCAACTCTGCCTGTGGGCTTAAGCAAGTTATTGGACTTTGCTAAGTCTTAGCTGTTTCCTCTATAAAATGATAAGCCTATTTAAATTTTGTTATAATTAAATGAGATAATGTCTATAAAGCCTTTGTATTTACATTCAGTAAGCACATGACAAACATTAATAATTGTTACTATTGGTCTTATTACGTCTGCTTCTTTGGTCTACACCTTACTTTCAAACTGTCCAAAAGACATATTGTTGACTGCTAGGTTGATTTTTATGATACAGAGTTGCAGCTGTCGTACAGTGTGGAGCTGAAATCTCCCCCTCCCCCTTGCCTGTGGTCTCTCTGGGTGATGAGCTGTAGCCTTGCTCCTGAGGACTCACCCATCCTGCTGAATTCATTGATTCCCTGCATGAACCCCTACCCATTTAGATTATCAGAAAAGTTTTATTTTGTATCGGGTGTTGCTCTAAGCTCCCCTTCCTTCCCCTTCTCCCTGCCGCAGACCACGCTTCATCTTTATTCAGTAGTCTGAGGCCCTGGCAGACAGTGAACTGAGGTGTAGACCCATCGTGCAGCTCCCAGCAGAGCTCCTTCTCCTCCGCCAGGCCGGTGCAAGAGTTGGAGAATCTGCTTTCTTTTCTGGAGGTCTACTATCTCTTTTCCAACCAAACCTGTCCTTAATCATGTGTTCTCTCTCTCTCCTTTTTCCTTTCCATTATGCAACATCCCCTAAGACATAGACGAATGCCTGGAACCAAACGTCTGCGCCAATGGTTCCTGTTCCAACCTCGAAGGCTCCTACATGTGCTCCTGCCACAAGGGCTACAGCCCTACGCCAGACCACAGACACTGTCAAGGTAAATGCTGTGACCAGATTTATTTCCCACTTTACTTGAACTTCATTAAAAAAACAGATTAAAGCAGCTGTCCTTAGAAAAGGGGCCCATGGTCACTACTTGCATCTGGTGTTTTTTAATCTTTTTTAGTTTTGAGCCAGGCAATGTCTCACTATGCAGTTCAGGCTGGCCTTGAACTCACTTTGTAGCCCAGGTTGGTCTGGAACTCTGCAAGGATCTTCCAGCCTCAGCCTCCCAAGGGCGGGGATTGCAGGTGTGTACCACCATGCTGGGCTCCTGTGTCTGTTTTGATTGAGCCACTTGGAGCTATTTTGTTTGGTGTTCTTGAAAGTGGCTTCTTCTTCTGGTCAAATACAGAGTGGCTGTATATTCCTAAATGGAAATAATGTGTTTTTTAGAGAATATAAACCACCAATGTATTTATTTAAATTTTTCTGATTATAAAAGTAATACACATAATTACACAAACTCAGTATATTAAAAACCATTTATTTGTAAAAACTTTTGAGTAGGAAAATCATATGACACATGAATAATAAAAGTTCTGTTAAAAAACTAGCATACAGCTGGGGATTTAGCTCAGCAGCATAAGTGCCTGCCTAGCAAGCAGGCGGTCACAAATTCAACGCCCGGTATCAAAGAAAAAAAACAAAAATAACTGACACACACTCATTGTATAAAATTAGGCAAATGTAGAAAGATTAAAAAAGAGATACCATTTGTACTATTCCTAAGTATTTATATCTGACAATAGTATAATGCCATGTACAGTTTTTATCTCCTACTTTATGTCAGTTATATGTCATAAGCACTTTATATCCCATTTATAACTCTTCAAATAATATTTTAATGGTTGTGTAATATCACAGTGAATTGCTGTCATACTATTTTTTGCTGTTCATTAGGTGTTGAACATACTTTTTCAATTATCATGAAAAAAATTATAGCAGACTTTTTAAAAACTAATTTTAGAATCGTTTCATTATTCATAAAAGTGAAATTATTTTAATAACTTTTGCCATTTTAATAAAACATTAATTTCCAATTTTGAAATGTACATTTCTTTTCATTCTAAAAAGATTTAATATTTATTTTATATGCTCATTTCCTCTAATAATTCCCCAAACACTGGTTTTATATATTAAACACTGGCTTTATATATTTGCTATTTATATTCTTTTGTAAATTTGTCTTAATATCTTGTTTTATTGCGAAGATTTTTCATTTTTCCAATCAATGTATATGATCTCTTTATACATGATTATATGTTATTGTATTATACTATTATATGTATTATATATAATCATATAGCATATCTTCAATATACTTTTTGGCTGTTTTTTGTTGTAATTTATCCAAGGTTTCCCTGATTTTTAAAATAATTTATTTTATTCATTCATTCATTATGTATGTTGTACTAAGGATTAAACCCCAGGTCTCACAATTCTTTGTTTTTAAGCTCTGTAATACTTTTTTTTTAAGTTCAAATTTTTCCTATGATAAAATTCTAAGTTGTTTCCTTTCTGCATTCTTCTACTGCTTTTATATTTAAAAACATGTTTTTTTTTTCTAAAGGCGAAAAAGAATAAGTAGAATTTTCTTCTTTCTTATGTAAATACCTCGTTCTAAGTGAAGGAGCTAAAGTGATCATTTCTCACTGGAGTAGGTCTTACAAGAATGGAAGCATCTACTACTGGTTGGAAAGAATTAAAAGACACCTGAGCTTGGCTTGTTCCTTTCTTGCAGTACCAGCTATTATAATAGGCACATCTCTGTTCTCTCCTGGGCATTTCTCTCCTGGCCCATGTCCACAGTTTTCTTACTAAGTCAAATCATACATCTCCTCAGGCCAAATTAGAAATGCAAATAGTCAACAAGGTATTATTTCTTCCCCATACCTCAGGTTATGGTGAATGATTTCAAGCCTTACAAGTCTTGTTTATCTTTATTATCTTTATTTAATTTTTATAATTGCAAATCTTCATTACTTTTAAAAGATCTTTATGGCCATCTCTTTTCATTTTACCTTCTTTCTTCTCTGTGCACTTGGTTCTTTTCTGCTGGTGGATACGGATGCTTATGATCTGTTCCTATTCTTCATATTTCAAGTTTGCCACTACTGTATCTTTAGCTTGCATTCTTGGTGGGCAAAGAAAGGAATACATGTCAAAGCTTAGAGGTGGAAATAGGTCATTGTCTCCACTTGAAATTAACCTTGACCTCTGCTCAGATCCTAGCAATGTCTCTTCTCACTGCAGTCTGAGATAGGATAAGGCAAGACCTCCATCTTCTGCTTTGGAAACCTACCTGTGCACTAAGTATTTCTCTAAACCTTTCCTGTCTACAGTGGTGCCATCTCTTTCTTTACTTGTCTCATAATAATATCCCAAACCACCACATCTCATGGTTATCAAACTTATCCCAGATCATCAGTCTCTCCCTGTTCCAGTATCCCAGCAACTCTGTCTTCCCCTGTTAGTAGTTCTAGTGTTGACTTTGACTTCATTTTCACGTCATTAAATGTACTGACAACTTTTTTCAAATTGTAAGTACGTTATGTAATAAATTAATTGAGTACTGATGTCTCTTAATGTGATTGTATCTATGCATGTTAACACCTTGTGTCCTAGATTTCCACATACTTTGATATAGTCTGTTTTTACTGTGAGCTGAATTTGTTACAGAAATATGTGTAAAATTTCCTTAAAGTAATACTTCTTATGGAAGTCAGTGTTTTCTGTTTATCTCTTGGCACAAAAGGAAGAAGACATTTGTCCTGCATGCCTATTTTATTAGAAATATTTCTTTTGTCTCGGGAATCCTGTCCCTCTTTGGAAAAGAAAAATGTTTTCTAGAAATAAATTGCCTCTGTTCCACTTAGTCATTTTAGAGACCTTTAGGTCTCCTTGGTCAAGATAACCGCATAGCCTCAAGTATGCCAAGTGTGTATGTGTGTGTGTTAGTACTTACAGTGAATTTCCTCTGACAGTCTTCTCAACAGACATGAGCAACTTACGTAAGAAGTCTGGCATGCGCAGACACTGCTTGGAATGAAGGGTCCATCCTTGCTGCACACGTCTTCACATGGGAATACTTAACTTGTCATCTTCTAAGAGAAAGTCTAAAAGAGTCCAAAACACTAAAACTGTTGTCAGACATCATGTGAAAGCCAGCCAGTTACAAGAGCTGTTGTTGGTCTTAAGGTTGTGAGCTGACATGGCAAATGTTTTATAAGGTGTGCTAAAAGAAAAGATAATGTAGCTGCCATTCTCAAAGCTTTACTGACTTAGACTGTGCAAAGGTATATAATAATTCTTAAGATGAAATTTGGTTTAATTGTTAAATTTCTCTGTGGAAGGTCAGTGGTTGGCAGCCAGGAATTATTTACATGTAAAGGGGACCAGTACCACCAGCACTGAAACAAAAGTTCTTAACTTAGGCAAATGTTGTGAAAAGTTAACAAGCAAATTCCTGAATTCTGATTATACTAGTTTTTACAGGTTATTCCATGTAATGCGAAATAATTAATGAGTGTTCCTGGCAAAAACCTCCAGAGGCATTTTAAATAAGATATTTTACAAGAAAATAACAGTCATACAGTGATCTTGAGGACATGGTCTTTGAAACACACTGTGTTCATTTTAGGTATGATTCCACTTAGACAGGTGTGGGCAGAAGTGTATTTTGCATTCTCTGCTCTAATCCTCACAAAAAAAATCTTTGGGACAGGTGGTAAAGCGTGATTGTACCATGTTGTAGTAACTGTCAAGTGCGATGAATTGACTAGTTATTTTAGTGGAACATGCTACCACTGTCTCTGCATTACAAGACAAGACTGCATTGTCTAATTAGAGAGACCAGCAGAATAGAATAATGAAGACATTTGATAAACCAAACTCGCCTCCTGCCAGAAGGGTTCACATTGTTGGTGAAGCCAGTTCTTTTCCAGTTGTGTAACTCGTATACATGACATTTCTTAGCACACTTATTAAGGGTTATTTTCTTTCTCGGTCAGTCGCTTTATCTTCAGTCAAGGCACTTTAAAAATCCTCGCTTATCACCTTTTCCTTCGGCATTCTTTCCAGCAGCCCTCACAGTGCTAACTTTCCTCTTGGTACTTGGAAAGAGCTCCGTGTTCTTTACTGTGACTTTTTAACCTTCCAGTTCAGCTTCTTCTAAATAAAGGTCTCTAGAGATGTCAGTTTCCTTCTGTAACTGCCTACATTTTGATTTGTTTTTAAAACTAATTCTATTTTTTGAATTTTTAATGCAACTCAGCAAGTCTACAAACTCTCCATTGCTTTATGCTTCAGGTTCCATTTTCAAATCTAATCTATTTCATACTATGTATCTTCTTTATCTAGAGTATGAGGGAGGGGTGGTGAGTTACATCAGTTTTTTGTAAAAGTTTATCTATTTGTAAGAGTTTCTGTTCCGTAGTTCAGCATATTGTGGTTGACAGAAGAAAGAGAAATAGTCTGGTGTGTACTCTAGTTTATCTTCTTCACAGAAGATCTTAATGATAGAACCCCAGGAAGGACTGTGGAGAGCCCTGCATTCTTTTGGGTCGTCTCCTAAAACCATGATCATTTGTGTTAACAGATATTGATGAATGTCAGCAAGGGAATCTGTGTATAAATGGGCAATGCAAGAACACAGAAGGCTCCTTCCGGTGTACCTGTGGCCAGGGGTATCAGCTGTCAGCAGCAAAAGATCAATGTGAAGGTAAGGGTGTTGCCAGCATGGACTACTGCTGTCAGCAGCAAAAGATCAATGTGAAGGTAAGGGTGTTGCCAGCACGGACTACTACTACTTCATGATGTTGAAGATAGTATGATGTCACCTATGAGAAGCACAAGTATCCATAGTGAAAAGAAACTTTTCTTATTTAAGAACAGAATTCACAGGGTGTGCAATTCTTAGAAAATGAATCATAGCCATATGAATATTAATCTTTAATTGCAAAAATCTGAGATAGTGTTTCAAAAGTGAGAATATATAATGGCAACTACAAAGACATCTACCCAGGTATCACTTTTTAAAACATAAAATGTTTACAACCACATCTAATCTAGAAGTAGAGAATGATAAGACACACAAACACAAAAAAATTAAGCATCTTGTTCTAGACTTTCTGAATCCCTTTCAAAGTTCTTATCTTTAGGACTCCTGATCCTGGTTACATCAGTATTTAGTGAATACCTACCACTGTGCATAAAGAACTACAAATGAATGGATGAGAAATTTTTACATGACGGAATATGTTGTTTCTTTGGAAAAGCCTGTGGTGCTACTATCAATGATAAGTTAGATATAGCCAAAACCATCTATTGAGATTATCAATAGAGGAAAACCATTTTAGGTTCCAGATGGCTGTGACAGATACACTAATGCTGTGGCCATAGTCGGGGAGCAAGGATTTAGGGTTTGCATGGGAGCAAACCCTACACATTTACTGATGTGTATGGTAAATCTTACAGAGGCACATTGATAGAAATAGATTGATGCTCTCAAATGGTACATGATCCTCCAACAAACAGCAGGGCTGGACGGACTCCTCAGTCACTGCCAAATGTTAGGTTATCTAAGGAGTAATAAAGAATGTGGTAGACATAGCCATTGTCCTTAGGAAACCTGTTAGTAAAATCTAATAAAGGAGGTAAAATTATTTGATATAGGCACACCATTCTGTGGGTGTGATATATGTGCATGAGTGAGCCTGAACTCAGGATTATGCAAACAGAACAAGTGATGTCTAAGCTGAGGACGTGTGTGTATGTGAAGAGTGACTCGGGGGCAATGTGGGGTATCAGGTGGCCTGAGAGAAGGGAAGGGTTTTTAATTTGGTGAGAAGATATTGTTGTGATAGATACAGATGAATGAATGAATAGGGAAGCCTGACTGTTAAGGGAACAAAGCATAAATTAGTGAACAAGAACTGAAGACGTACTGTGACATTTAAATAAGGGGTTGACAAACTTTTTCAGCAAATGGCTAGATAGGGAATAATACAGTGCCATTTTCCAAACAAATTTATTAATAATAAGCAGTGGGCTGACCCTTGCTTTAGACTGTTAGAAGCCTGTATTTTTTTTTTATAGTGGAGTCTATGAAAGATCTAAGAAGCTTGAGTGAGGTTTATGGATTAGAGTAAAATATTTGCCACCCATGGGTGAATAATGAGATTAATGCATACAGGTTCCTGGCTTATTGATTAAATGTTTTAGTTCACCTGGATTCTCCCTACTGGTCAGTTGAAGTGAAAACTCTAGTTTATTAACAAGGAGTTTATAGACCTTCCTTGTGTGAATGAGTGCCCAAGTGTTTGAAGCACCACTCTGCATTCCTTTGTGCTGTCTTGCTCACAGATATTGATGAATGCCAGCACCACCATCTCTGCACTCATGGCCAGTGCCGGAACACAGAGGGCTCCTTCCAGTGCGTGTGTGACCACGGCTATCGAGCATCTGCACTTGGAGACCACTGTGAAGGTGAGAACTGTTCCCGTCACAAAGTGCCGAAATCCAAGGTCACTCTGCGTATCATCTCTACCTCTGTCCCTCATCTCAGCTTTTGGCTTCTAAGTTGAGGGTGCAAAGGAAGGAGTAGAGTACAGATTTGCTTTGCCCTGTTTGGAGTTGTTCTTTAGAATTTTGCCAGCTAAATGAGTAACGAATCATTTTACCTTTACTAGCTAAAAGTTTATCCTGGGTGCGTAGTTCTGAGCTCTGACTCCCATTCATACCAAACTGACTTCTATATATTCCAAATAAGTAAAATCAACTTCTTTTGCCAGACAACTGGAAGGTTTTAAAGAGCCGGGCTTTGAGTATAAAATGTTTCTATGTGATAGATGCCGCATAGGTGCGGCAGGGTGCAGTCATCAACTACTTTTTTGTCTGCCTTGGTCTGGGTACAGCCCTCTTGTGGGGAGAGGTAACCTATTCTCCATGTGTATATATATATATATATAAATGAAGCCCCCTTCTGTTAAAGTCAGGACTGATTTGCCTAAAGTGCTAGGTTATAAATAGGGCTGGAGTCCTTGGGAGTTCTGAACTCCCAAGGAAACTAACTTTATTAGCACTTCAGCTTGCTAATTCCCACCTGGTCTTGTGTCCTCTCCCCTCAAAAGGGTATTTTCCCATAATTAACTTAGCCGTATCTGCTCACATCTCTCACAGCTGCGGGAGGAAGAGACGTCTTCCTTGTTGGCTTTTCTGTTTCCATGTATAACTTCCCTCTAGTAATGCTGGTGAGGGCTTTGCTTTCTGAGGGCATTACCCTACCATCCTGCTGGCCTCCTCTCAGAGTCAGAAGCCCACGGTGTGCTGCTTGCTCCACCAAGCACAGTCTCAGAAGATGGGTCACCTGGGTTACCCCAGTTCCTGGGAGTCTGGGCCTCTCAGACGCCACAGTTTCTGCGCATGGCTGGTCTCCCATTCACGCAGGTCTCTCATCCCTCCTCTGCCTTGGTCCTTCCCCTCGCTGTGTGCAGAGCTGGACAAGATGACTCCTCACTCACTTTTGGTCATCAAAAACAATGTGGAAAAGTCATAGCAGAATCTTTCACATGTTCATTTGTGTGTTTGTTCAGTAAATATTTAGTGCTGAATTTGTATCGGGTATTCTAGGCGCAGGGCACAAACCAAACAGAAAGGAATTCCTGCTTTCCTAGAGCTGACGTTCTGCATAACAGTAAACATGATAAAAAAGTAAAATGAGCAGTTCGCTAAATGGCAGTAAGTGTTATTTAATGAAGTGGGAATGTACAGGGAGTGCTGAGAGGGGGCGGTGACTTTAGAAACAAAGCAAACCCAGACTTCCTGATTCAGTAACCTTTCATTGTTAATGGGACAAACATTACTTTCAGAAGAATGACAGATACAGAGGCCCCAAGGGGCAGGCGTCCTGGAAGAGGTTAGGAGCTTCACAAGGCATGTTCAGTTTTCAGTGCCTACGATGAGTACTCAAGTGGAAATAACGGAATCAGTGCATTTGGGATCAAGGATGAGTCCCGGCTGGGAGTTCTCTGCACATGAGAAAAGGAGCGGGTGAAGGCATGAGGTTGGATGGAATCACCTGAAAAGTGAGGAATTTAAAACAAGAAGAGGTCCTGGGCTTTCTGACACTTAGAAAGAAATGAGTAGGAATCTCCAGAGGAAACTGAGGATGAATTAACAAGCAAAAGAGGAGAAAAACCAGAATCCAAGAGAAGAGAGTTTCAGGGAGGGAAGATGGTGATGAACTACGTCAAACATTATGGCTACTTCAGAGGAGAACCAAAAACTGACTGCTGACCTTGGCAAACCAGAGGAGTGATTAGGATTCAGTGTTGCTTTTTTAAAAGCTATTCCTAAGTTCCGGTGATGATCTGTGTTTTCGCATCATGCCACGTTGGTCCTCTTGATGTTCCACCTACTTTTTTTGCTCTGAAAGTATTGCAAAGCATTTTTAGATTAGACTGACTCTGACCACAGTTTTTAAGTATATAAAATAACTTAAAAACATTTAAAACGATGCCGTTTTCTCCACACACTTACCATTTCCCTTAGATTTGGGGAAATGAATACAGGTTGCATTGTTTTAAAAATAGTTCGCACAGAACTGCCTGCTTCTGTTTAGCTGAGGCAGATGTTTAAGCCATGCAGCATTTTGCTTGTTGCTGAAATTTGTATTCTCAGGATTCTCCTTGATTGTCTCTCTCGATCTTATATGCCAGTGATCCCTGTGCCTCTTTATCTTATTTCCTAAGTGGTAAAGAAAGAAAGGTTAATCTGCAAACTTGTTGCCTACTGTGCGCCTTTCAAGAGAGCTGTTAGATTTAACATGCCAGTGGGGGTGCAAATTTTTATACCTACTTTAGAAAACAATTTTTTTTTCAAAAATTAAGCATGCTTGGTAAGTGATCTACCATTGAGCCACATCTCCAAATTCCATATGACCCAGCTGTATCTCGTCTGGGTATCTTCCTGAAAGAATTAGACATCATATTACAGTGACACATGCACATATTATCTCAGATAAATCTTGGAAGCAGCCAATTTGCACGTATATGTGCGTGTCACTTCTAGGTGTACATCATGCCACATCATGCCACATCATGCCACTGCATTCCTGGAACATGCAGTTTCTGGGATCCTGCTGGGGTCCTAAACTCTCAGCGGCAGTAATAAATTAAAGAGGCAGAATTTGAAATAAAAGAAGATAGTTATTTTTTAAAAAATTGAAAAAAGGGTGGCAGGAGGGAAATAGGCATCTACCCCGAGAAGGCAGGAGGCGTTAGAAAGGAGTGCACATGGACTTTTTCCTAGCACTCCTGGCTTCTTCCATCCCCATGTGGGCACCTAGAAGCTCTCGCCACCTGATTGGCTGTTCGGCTGTGTTTGGTCATCACATGGACACCTTTGTCAGCATTTCTGTCTGGTTCTTTGGTTTCTTTCTGTCCCTTGGGATGGATGTGTGTGTGTGTGTGTGTGTGTGTGTGTGTGTAACAGAGTTAATGATTAAGGGGACATACATACTTTACATATTAAATAAGAGTCCTTAAGTATCTGTTTCTTATCTCCTTTGCATTTTTTCAGAGGTGGATGACCTAGGCTGGTTTCCCTGGCCTTTCGTGTTCTGGCTCCTTCCCTGTGTTGCCATTAACCCCGCCTCTGAATTCTTATGCTAATTGTGTTACCTGGCTGTCCTCAGGTCTGGTTTCCCATGCTCCATGCTCACCTCTCCTCTCCGGATTTTTCTTTCTGTCTCCCTGCCTGCTCTCTGTCTTTCTGTCTCTGTCTCTATCTCTGTCTGTCCCTCTATCTCTTCCTGTCTTTGTCTTTCTTACTGTCTCCCTCTCTTTCTCTCTCTCTCCCTTTGTCTTCTATTTGTTGGAGTCTAACTACAGAGGTAAAAAGCTGCCTTTAGTACCATTTTCCTATTAATTTATTTAATGAAGCTTAATGAGATCCCATTTTATCCTTTTTTCTGCCTGTCACCCCTGTCTCTACCTACATTTCAGCCATAAAGGATAAATTTGGTCATTTGTGGGAAGATGGATTCACCTCGAACCCATGATACTAAATGAAATAAATGAGATATAGAAAGTTAAATGTAAATATTGGATGGTTTCTCTTATATGAGAATTTAAAGAGCAAAATAAAAGAAGGATAATAGGAAACAGAAAGGTGGACTTTATGGAGATGGGAAGAGGCTCTGGGTGAGGGTGGGAGGGGGAGGGAGGAGAGGAGGAAATAAGAAGGATCAGAATGTGGTATGCGTAAGGACCAATGCCCTGTGGTGAATATTACGTGTCAGAAACATACTAATGCGTTTTTTAATTGGGCACAAACCTGTTGTAGGACTGAGCCATTTTGTTCCCATATATTTGCTCAAAGACAGTGAAAGTATAGGTTTACACAAAGACATGCTTATAAAATTATTACTCAGAGTAGCCAAGAAGCAAGTCAAATGCTCATCAAAAGGTGAAACAAACAAATCGTGGTATATTCATACAGTGAAATACTACTCACCAATAAAGAAGGGAGAGCTTTTGATCTTCCAAGTCTATTTAACAATCAGAAGCCAAACACCAAGGAAGGGCACCCAGGACTCTGTTAAGAGTGATGTACATGCCTCTACCTTCTCTGTACATGGTGGTCAGGAAGATGTGCACACAGTTGTTGAAATTCACTTAACTGGACTCTGAATTGCATTTATTCTAGGTAAATTTTACATCAGTGAAAGTGGAAATACACAGCAAAGCAAAGGCAGTAACTCACTACCATGTCAGCTGATTTTTTTGTGTTAGGATCAGTGCTGAGAACATTTTCAACCTGGGTGACCACGCATCTACTACCTTGTTTTTGTCTTGACAGAATGAAAGGACAAAGCTCCCTCTGATCTTCTTGTTTGCCTGTGAAAGCCACTTAATTAGTTGATTAGGCTCAGTGAGGACAGTTCAGTTCAGTGTTCGCATTCTTGAACCAGATGGCAGGCAGAGTGGAGGCTGCCAGCAGTCTCCACGTTCACATCTTCCTGGAACCTGCATGTCTTTTAGCAGTAATCGTAATTATTGTAAGAAATGTCATGAGATGCCAAATTCTGAGAAAACAAGGAAGTTTTGTTCCTCAGCTTTCTGCAATACGAATTATTTAAACTCTGCACAGACATACATTAGAACAGGGACTCTTAGAGGGCATCAGGAGTCATGGGCTCTGAGCAGGAGTCCGTGTGGCTGTAAACAGCCCTTGAGATGCCTGATCTCTGAGTATTAATTGTCTCACACATCCACGGTCAAGGCTCAGTGTTGGTTGCGTAAGTAGCTTTGAGTTGCACATGTGCTGTAAGAATGTGTACTAAATGTGTAGGCATGTAGCCAGGCCACGGCTACAGGAACCCCTTTGTGGTAGCTGGAGAGTGACCTCGGCGAGGCTTTTGGTCTTGCTGGTTTCCCTTCATCCCAGAACCCCACTTCTTTGCCCTCTTTTGTGTTCTGGAGGGTTAGCAAGCCTCCCATTCTTGTAGGTACAGAAAGTCTTTCTTTGACTATTAAGATATCTTTTGTCGACATTCATTTGATCCCCAAACTTAGTACCATTTTTTGGTCAAATAATTATATTTTGTAACAGTTCTTTATTTTTTATTGATTTATTTTTTGGAACCAGGAATCAAACTCAGTTTTTCTTGCTTGCCAGGCAGGCACCATGCTGCTGAGCTCCATCCCCAGCCCTGTAACAGTTCTGAAGTTAACTTGTTTTGTATTTATAAAACAATTTAAGATTTTGTGTGCTTGTTTTTATTAATGCATACAGTACAATTTGTGTTTTTTGAACAAATATTTCTCTTTGTAGATAGGGGCCTTGCCAAGTACTGTAAAGTTTTTTCTGTAAGGCTTAATACAGGATCAACTGCAAATAGATCAATTATGTTAGGTATGTTCAAAATACAGTTAGCAATATGTTTTTTAAAAATATTTTGTCACTAAAAACATGTTATTACCAGAAGTTAGACTTTCCTAGTTATTTGCATTTGTTGTTTATAACATCTGTGTATTGATTAAAGCTAAAAATCCTTTAAAAACACTTCATTCTTTAAAAATTCAAAGTTACACGGCTGTCACTTAAAAACATGCATTGTCAGTTGTACAAAGTACTGCATACTTACATGACTTTGTGTGTGTAAATGTAAGTTAATTTTCTTATCATTTATTTGTCTTTAAAATTTTTTAAATTGATTTGTAGATATCAATGAGTGCTTGGAGGACAAGAGTGCATGCCAGGGAGGAGACTGCATTAATACTGATGGGTCATATGATTGTACTTGTCCAGATGGATTCCAGCTAAATGACCACAAAGGATGTGAAGGTACTTGGCTTTCCCTCAGTCACTGTTTACATTGTTCTTAAATTCTGCAGTTTCCCACTTGCTATCTGTCTATATATATAAAAACGATGCCAGTTGATCTTATTAAAATGTCTTTCTTGGATCTGCTTCAGATGCAGGAAGGTGTTGCTTTGTACTGTAGTTTGTAGACCAAACTCACAACAGTCTGGCTGTGTCTCAGAGCTACTCAGGCTGGGCGCATGCCTGTGATCCTCCTCCTTCAGGCTTCCAGAGTGTTGGGATTGCAGGTGTGTGCTGCCGCACCCATCTGCCTTGCACATAGGATGATATCTCCTGTCCATGTTCCAGTTCCAGTGCTCGTCCAGGAGAGAGTGCAGTTTAGTCGCTGGGGTGTATTGTGGGACTAGTGTGCTTTCCATCTTCGTCGCTGTTGCTGTCCAGATGTGTGTCATAGAGAAATGAAAGATCTTTGTGCCAAGGTCTTTTAGCAATAGTTCCCTTACTAATCCTAGTATTTAAGTATACTGGACTGTGTGCTTCATGTGATACTGTATATGATTTGCAGCCACTATAAAATTAGTGAATTTAATTGTTTTAATATTCCCAATACTGATGTTAAATATGCTTGGATTTGATACAGGAGAGGAGTAATCAATCCTACATTTATGCAACTATTTTCATTTGGGAACTTTAAACCAAACAAGCATTAATTATATGAAAAGTGAGGTGGAAACAAAAAACCTGAATCCTGCCTTTTATCACAAGTTTTTTGGCTTATAAGTGGTATTTTCCTTTTAATTCACTTCTGTCAAATAGAAGCCACACAAAATCAGTATAAATTGGCTAAAATGTCCTATCACAAATTCTGTGGTTTAACTAATAGAATTAAATCACCTAGAACTAATTGCTCTGTTTCAGTGTAATACATTTATGTCTGTGATTTAATATCAACTCTCAAATATGTGCCTGCTTCAGATGAATGAGATTTGATTGACTATCAATCATGACTAAATTGATTTCATTCTGTCACATTTATTTCCTGTTTTCCAGAATAAATTAATGTCTTCCTGGAAAGTGTAGGTTAAAACAAACGATAGAAAATTGTGGTCTTAGTCCTGTTTAAAGAATGATTGTATGAATTTGTATCATTACATACTTTCTTATATCACAGGCTATTTTTATAGCCCTTGCCTGCTTAGCTTGATTTGAATGATCACAATTTAATCTATCACTGGAGGCAGCTTTGATCTTTCATTGTGTCTGAACCTGCCATTCTTTAATCTGTTAATCATGTCAGCATTTTATAGATAGATTTTGTAGACAGAGTTCCAAATTTGTTGTAAGGCTGAATTGATGGCAGTGCTAAAAATCATGGGTTATATTTGAGTAACTGAATGATGGGCATCCGCTTTAAATTTTACCTAATATTCTGAAGGTGCATATTTAGCCAGGCATTTTCATTTGGAAGTATGCTTTAAGATTCTCCTCACCCTGCAAAACTAATGATGATATGCAGATAGTGTGGAAACGCCATGTTAATAGTCTCTTAGGAATGTGGCAGGATATGTTTGAGATTCAGAACACATTTCAGTTTCACATTTTGAATTACACATGCCAAATTGTGAATTTCTGTGGAATCTCAGATTCATGAAAGAAACCCATCTTAAATATAGTCTGGCTTTCAGCTCAGAGTTACTAGCAGCATAGTTTAGAAATGCCTCAATAAGTACAATCCAAATTGAATGCATATGTTTCTCTAGTTCCAGATAGTCATGATGTTGTTCTTAGCAGTTTCCTGGAAAAAAGTCTGGGAATTTGTCTTCAGATCCTGTCATCAAACTTTTTAGACCATTATTTGTTAATAAATGACTTCTTTTGAAGCATGAACGTTGTGTTCAGTTGTGCAGAGTTGTAAAGCAGGTAGCTTTTAGAGGTAGCCACACTGAGGTGTTCAGTAAAATATGAAAGAAATTTTGGGAAGAAACCAGGGTTGATGAGATGGCTGTGGAAACAGGCCGGACCTCAGGCCGTGGAACTGTATGGCACCCTTTGACCAACTAGGAACAACACGGGGCAGCAGACTGAAAGCAAAGGTTATGAGGTTATCAGAAGTCAGATGCCCACCTAGTATATTACCAACAGGCAGAAAATAAAAACACAGAGATACATGACTTTATAATAAAAGAGAAGAATTTCAGATTGAAATCATCTGGAGAAATAGGTAGAATAGTATCCATTGCTTTTCCTTAAAATATCGGAAACTTAGTGACAATAACAAAAATGGGAGGATTGTTGGAGAAATACGATAAATTCCTGCTTGATTTCTTATTTGGGGCTTTAGCAGTTGATAGGCCAGAAATAGTCTGAATTATATGGCAGGCTGAAGAGTTCAGGACAAGGGAAGAAAGTGGAATAAATCAGTAATTCCCAGGATTTCTGTTGGCACAGTGAAGTCAGCAGGGTAAAGAGAGCCTTGTGGAATCCTGGATGCACAGGAAGGGATTGACTTCCTGAGGGAGAGAACCACAGGGCCTGTGGCTCAGTCAGTGCTGGAAGTCGCTAAGAAAAACTCACAATCGGTCTGCTTTTCCTGTTCTTACTAAACTTTGTGATTATTCATGTGCCTCCCCCATTCTGTTGTAAACTTCATCCTGGCAAAGGTCCTGTCCTCTTCACAGAGAGCATTTTAATTAAAGTTACAGATGAACTGTTAGAGGATCTATTGAGGACTTCAGAGAGACTTCAGGAAGACAGGAAAATGATCTTAATGGAGCTACTGCTTGGGTGATGGTGAAGACCTGTGATTTATGTATTTGTATGAGCTCTGTTAACAAAGGGAACCTTAACCAGTCATTGTTAAGCTAGTAGAGCATAACTGACAGATTTTGTGGCGCAGATATTTATGAAACACTACCAGTGTACAGTACCAAGGAATAGGAATTCAGAGGTAAAGCCTGCAGTCTTCCGTCTCAGGGAGCAAACCAAATAATGAGGCGCTCAGATTAGTAAATGAGCAGTTAAATCAGTGTGGCCAGGCAGTTGCCTGCATCAGGACCACTGTGAGCAGGTGAGCCATCTTCTAGATTTCTGTGCGGTCATCTTGGATGCTGTGTGTCAAGCGGCTGGAACTGCATTTCTCCCACAGTGAGCACTGCATGTGTTACCTTGTTATGTTGAGCGGTGCCTCGTCTCCCTGGTCATGGGAAGCATATTTCATTGAGGACAAGCAGAGCATAGGTTGCTCAAGTTTATCTAGGGCATGATCTGTCCATTCATGAGTCTTCATAATAATAGCTACCACTTTTTGATCTTTAATGGTGTGTTAATTACTATGCTAAATACTACCTCATTTGTTAATTTCACCATCATAAAACCATGCAAATAAGAACTTCCACAGCTTAAAAGACCTTCTTTTTCTTGTCTTTGATTTCTATTATCGATTTCTAGTGAAATATAGATTACTATCAGTATCATTTATGTATTAGACATTTATGAAGCGACATTTATGAGGCAAATATTACATGTAAGACACACATCCAACCTTGCCCTCAAGCAGCCCACATAGCAGGGGTGAAGACACAGTGTGTGACAGGCTATGACAGCATTGTCACTGGAACACTCAGAGAGGGCAGAGGTGAACACGGCATGCTGACTGAGAAGGAACATTTCTCAGAGCTGTTTATTAGTGTTCTGCAAGCCTCCAATATTGTGACACCTAAGATAAGGATAATTTGAATTGAAACTTAAACTTCTTTTTGTTGGTTGAGATATTTGGACAATGACTTTTTCGTATAGGTTACCCAAGTAATTTCTTTCTCATGACAGTTGTACTTGTCCTGTGGACTCTTATATGGACAAATGATACAATTGGGCCAAAAAAAATACATATTAACAGTCACTGTAAGAGATTTTCTTATGCCTGATACTGTATGAAAGCAGAACAGTCTTTTGCAAATATCTGAAGCTCTGGGGCTGGGGATTTAGCTCAGCGGCATAAGCGCCTGCCTTGTAAGCAGGCAGTCATGAGTTCGATCCCTAGTACCGATAAAAACGAAAAAGACAAAAAAAAAAAAAAAAAAAAAAAAAATATCTGAAGCTCTGTTTCAAATTCCAGATATTAATGAGTGTGAGCAGCCAGGGCTCTGTGGTCCTCATGGGGAATGTCTAAATACAGACGGCTCTTTCCACTGTGTCTGTGAACAAGGTTTCTCCATCTCTGCAGACGGCCGCACTTGTGAAGGTAAGATAAATCATAGGAAATCAAAGCTTTATTGTGCAGTACAGCGAAGAGGAGATTGCATTCTACTTGAACAGACAAAGACAATAAGTTGCTCAGAGGTACTCATAATTCATGACTTCAAAGATTGTATGTGTCAAGCTGATGCATGCCAGAAAGCATAGCTCAGGGGTTGCCAGGATTTACAAATCAGATAACCCAGGTCATGATGATGAAAACATTCACAGGGAGTTCCAGTGCTGATAGTAATTAATAAGCCAACATGTGGAGGGGTGACGATTTCAGGTGCATCTTAGAAACCTTAAAGGTAAACTGTGGCTCCTTCTTGGAGTGACTGGAGAGCCTCCTTGTTTGGGTTGTATTTCATCATTTTGATCATTCTGTTCATAAATAATGAAGTCTTGCCTGATTTCTTTTGTACCACTGGGAACACAGATTTCCTAGACTTACTCCTCTGACATCTACACCTCTATGCCTGGTGTATTTATGGGCAAGTTATAAAATGCTAAGGTAACACTGTTTGCTTCCTGTGTGCAGTTTCTCTCTGCTGCAGAGATGCTCGTTATTTTCACAAGATTTCTGTTCTTGATGACTTTTTGTAGTTTGGTAAATTGAGGAGTAATTCATCTGAACTTTATGTGAAGCAAACCAGGATCCCCACAGTCATAATTTCATCCCATCTTGAGAGTCTAGGTTATCGAAACATGTCATATTTTAAAGACGTGCATTGCAAACATTCTGTTCAGGCCTAAGACAGTACCCAGATTCTTTGTTTCTAAAAAATTCTGCAACAGGAAATATCTGCTCTCCTTGCTATGACCATAATGGAACCTCGCCGATGACAGCGACCAGGTTCAGCTGAAACCAATTATGATGTTGGGAGGAATAATCTGATCTTATAAAAAGCAGGAGATTGCTGAAATTGCTCTCCTGCTGAGCAGACAAAACATGGAGGCCAGATTTGGCTTCAAGTGGGAGAGAGCGTTCTGGGTGGAGTCCGAGCAAACAGATTGAGGGGTTTGGATGGAATCAGAAGTTGAGAAATGGTGGAAGGCATCATAATAATGTGGGTGATGAGAGATTTACAAGGAATCCATGCTTCCCTGGTTCTCTTTATGTTAAATTTATACTTAGAGCTTAGAGACTAGAGCTTGTAGAAAAGACAGCGCCTGAACGTACACATTCTCCTAGAAAGCACTTTTCCAAGCCGAGAGAGGGTGCTGGCCAGTCCAAGTCACCCGTAAAACACATTTGCAAACGCCCCACATTCCAGACACATGCAGGTTTGCTTCCTCACCAAGCTCTAAATCATGATGCGTAGTAAAGGCTTCCTTCACTTAGAAATGGCCCCAGTTACAAGTGCTGTTGCTTATGATAGGCAAAGCTATATTGAGAAAAAACATGCCCTCTCGAGTGCTTACTGATCAAAGCTATTGTTCCAGAACAATATTCCCAAAATAAACATGCTCACATTTTCCTTGCCTTTTGTGTTTACTAATTTTTGTAAATTCTGTACCTTTTGAAACATGATTTATGTGACTTGAGAGTTATGCAATCACTGTAATTTAGTGCAGCTCTGATTTTGTTGGTTATTGGCAAAGACTTGAATATCAAAGTATATGCTTAGAAACCTTTTCATCCTTTATAAAGTACCTTCCTCACTGAGTATAGTATCACTTTGATACTTGCTCCATACATTCAGATTCCAAAGACTGGACATTTTATAAGTAATAGAATGAGTGATTTAGAATATTGTCTTAATATATGGTAGAATAACTAGAAAGCTCCCTAAATGTTAGGTGCAGTATTCTCTTAAATTCTGCAAGGACTTCATTTCAGGGTGGAGGGCTTAGTCCAATATCATAAATAGTTCCACATTTTCTTTCGTTGGATTTAGTCTGAAACTTACAGCAATCGTGCTATATCTTGATGCTGCGCCTGGCTGTGGTGCAGGACAAAACCATTTCAGTGGTCAGGATTCAGCCAGGATGCTGATGTGCCCAGTGCTGGCGCCAATGTTGAGAAGGGCTGGCACACAATCTGCTGAGCTTCAGCTGAAGCCAAGTTGGTGGGGGGCTCCAAGAAGGGTTCAGTCCAACGTAACTGGGGGAGAGGATGCTTCACTGATTCTTGTGGCTTGGACAGGCTGTCAGCATTGTAGTTACTAAACTACAGTAAGAAGGTGCAGTTTATAAAGGAATGATACGAAGGGGCACAGAGGATTCTATAGGACTCAAAGAGGGTACCACCAGGTCCTTCCTTTCAGTTACCTGGAGCTGGGGGAGGAGAAACCAGGTTCTCTCCCATGAGATAAGGAACAGTGTTAGGCGGGGTGTGGTAGCACTTAGCAACGTGAGAGGCTGAGCAGGAGGATCACAAATTTAAGGCCAGCAGGTAGTTTGGTGGGACTCTGTCTCAGAACAAAAGCAGGCTGAGGTTATAGCTTAGTGCTTCCGGGATGTAATCCTTTCTCGTACTAAGAGAAGGGGTGATTTTTGAAGTGTCAGTGGTGTGGGAAGGAGAAGTAGATGGTGTGCAGGTATTTGTCATTTACTCATTCACTGTAATATTTACGGTCTCTGTGGTGCCAGGCGTTATGCCCAGGGGAGAACACACAATTCTTGTCCACATGGAGCCTAAATTTCACAAGGGAGTCCAGGGTATATAAGTAAACAGTATCCCTAAGATTCATACATAAGATTCATTATTGTTTATTTAATATGGCATAGTCGGGTTTTATAGATATATCTGAGTGCAGCTGTGACGTGCCAGCTACCCTAATATAGTTCTCAGGTTATTTCCTCAAATCCAGGAATTGGGTGCTGGAAAACCACAGGGGACGGGATTCTACCCGGCTGACTTTGTGTTCTGTGGCTGCCAAGCTCAGCTCCTCTTACCCCACCTTCTTCTCAGCTAGGGGTTCTGTCTTGTGTATACAAATACAGGTGACACTAGCTGGGGTGATCAGAATTGGCTCTTCTGCCTCGATAGGTAGGTTTATGAAGAATTACTAAAATTGTGTTTCTGAGTTTAAAAATGAGGTTATTTCAATTGCCTCTCTTTTCAAACTGGTCTTCACTGGCTAAGGGAGCAGATAGGCAAGGGGGTGCAAGATGGCCGCTTGAGGGCCTTTCCAGCACTGCCGTGGCAGATTCTGTTGTTCACACAGGACATTTATAGTGAGACTGAAGCTTGAAGTCATCTGTGAGCTTTGGTTGAATATTTGGTAATAAATGAAGCGCTGTGGTGTGGGTTATTGGTAGTGGGAGAAGCTAAGGGGCAGGGTTAGGGGAGCGGAAGGCACATGGAAACTTTTCGTCGGGAACTTAATGCACTCTCAAAAATCAGACACATTTCTGGCATTACCTAATTTTGGCTGAAAAGGAAAAATCAAAACCTTTTATTTTGATTCTACTTTTCACTCCTAGATGATTTTATTTTTGTGTCTCACATTTCAACATAATGTCCTAGACAGAGGATGCAATGAACAGTGGCTATTGCTTTTCAAAACAGTTCTAAAATTGAAAATTTGAGAACTACAAGATTGAGAGGGGATTTCTTGTAAGGTCTACCCTGAATTCTGATTCCTGCAGTACTTTACCCTAACTAGTCACAGAACTAGGTCCTGTTGTCAGAGACCTATAGAAATTCTAATCCTGAAGCCTCTTCGGGTATTTACTGTGAGCTACTGTTTGCTAATGCATGCATCCAAAAGGAAAAACCTGCCAGGGCACTTTTATTGACTTGGTGAAGACAGCCACCTTCTTACTGCTTACTAAGGCAGGAGGATCAGTCTGATAAAAAGAAGGTAACTTGGAGGCCAGATTTGCTTCAAACACAGTGAGGCCAACTTTGCCAAATGAAAGAAATAACTAATTGGACTCAAGTGTGGTTTGTGTTCAGAGCTTTAGGTATATTTTCTGCAGCATAGAAAGTATAAAACCATCACTGATGATACTCCAGGCAGTTGGTGGTTTTGCGGCATGGGCATAGAACTTTATATCCATCCCCAAAGAGAAAATATTTTTGCAAGTGATTTAGCCAAGTAGGACACTGAAGTTCCCTGACACAGTAATATATTACATCTGACTGCTTGGCCCAAACAGTTTTAGATTTTTAGTAGTTTTAGGGTCTGAAAGGAAACAGCCTACTAAGAGAATACTACTTGAGTATGATTTATCTTTCTAAATTCACTTTAACAGCAGAACCCAGCGTTGCCCGTACGTTTTAAAAAAATGGAATCAGTAACATTTCAGGTAAAGGAAGTAGCCCCAGCCCCAGCTCCCGTTCACACTCACTGCTTTTGCGAATGTGCCTCTGCAGGAATGAGTAAAATGAATGTTTAAATCATTAGGGAGAGAGCTGAGGAAATTTTGCTGGAGTTAGGTTGCTTTTGGATGTGGAATGCAGTTTTTCCATGCATTGCTAGATTGTCTTTCATATATCAACATTGGTATGGAGAAACTCAATAAAAGCAAAAGACTGCATAACTGTTCCTACGCCTTTTTATCACCACTGACCTTTTTCAACCTTAGAGCTATGGAAAATCATCCCCCTGCAGAAGGACAAGTAAACACTTTGCTTGCAGCCAGAAAACAGACATCAGAGACTGCCCAGAGGTAGAAGCAGTGGTGAACAGGCGAGCTAGACCTGCGCGCCTTACACCGGTGCCTGCTGGTGCGACAGGCACGGGCTTTCTGCAGCTCTTTGGGTGAATCTTTGGATGTCATCAACAAATAGAGCTTTTATTAGCTCACAGAAAGCTGTGGTGAGTGGTATTTTCATACTTTAGACATAAATTGTAGTGCTGCACTGTGTGTCAGCTTCAGGAACAGTTACTTATTAGACAACCGATACAGATGCTCTGTGGTTATCCTGGATTCCTAGTGTGAGTGAACGATGGATAGTTTGTGTATCTGACTTTATTAAAATAGTGGCAATAGTATTAATAGCATCTGTGCAGCTCTTGTTAGGAGTCAGGCACTATGCTAGTGCATTTTACC